CATCACCTCCACCACCATCATCACTCCATCACCTCCACCATCATCATCACCACCTCCATCACCTCCATCATCATCACCACCACCATCACTCCATCACCTCCACCATCATCATCATCACCTCCACCTCCATCATCACCACCACCACCACCTCCACCTCCATCATCACCACCACCATCACCTCCATCACCTCCACCATCATCATCACCTCCACCTCCATCACCACCACCACCATCACCTCCACCTCCATCATCACCTCCACCATCATCACTCCATCACCTCCACCATCATCATCACCTCCACCTCCATCACCACCACCACCATCACCTCCACCTCCATCATCACCTCCACCATCATCACTCCATCACCTCCACCATCATCATCACCTCCACCTCCATCACCACCACCACCATCACCTCCACCTCCATCATCACCTCCATCACCTCCACTATCATCATCACCTCCACCTCCATCATCACTCCATCACCTCCACCATCGCCTCCACCTCCACATCATCATCACCACCACCATCACTTCCATCACCTCTACCACCACCATCATCACTCCACCACCTCCACCTCCATCATCACCTCCACCTCCATCATCACCACCACCATCATCACTCCATCACCTCCACCATCATCATCACCTCCACCACCACCATCACCTCCAGCTCCACACCATCATCACTCCATCACCTCCACCATCATCATCACCTCCACCTCCATCATCACTCCATCACCTCCACCATCATCATCACCTCCACCTCCATCATCACTCCATCACCTCCACCATCACCTCCACCTCCACACCATCATCACCACCACCATCACCTCCATCACCTCCACCACCACCATCACCTCCAGCTCCACACCATCATCACTCCATCACCTCCACCATCGCCTCCAGCTCCACACCACCTCCACCACCACCATCACCTCCATCACCTCTACCACCACCATCACCTCCACCACCACCATCACCTCCATCACCTCCATCACCTCTACCACCACCATCACCTCCACCACCACCATCACCTCCAGCTCCACACCATCATCACTCCATCACCTCCACCATCATCATCACCTCCACCTCCATCATCACTCCATCACCTCCACCATCATCATCACCTCCACCTCCATCATCACTCCATCACCTCCACCATCACCTCCACCTCCACACCATCATCACCACCACCATCACCTCCATCACCTCCACCACCACCATCACCTCCAGCTCCACACCATCATCACTCCATCACCTCCACCATCGCCTCCAGCTCCACACCACCTCCACCACCACCATCACCTCCATCACCTCTACCACCACCATCACCTCCACCACCATCATCACCTCCAGCTCCACACCATCATCACCTCCATCACCACCACCACCATCGCCTCCACCTCCACCACCACCATCACCTCCAGCTCCACACCATCATCACCTCCATCACCTCCACCATCATCATCACCTCCACCACCATGATCACTCCATCACCACCACCATCATCATCACCTCCATCATCTCCATCATCACCTCCACCTCCATCATCACCACCACCATCATCACTCCATCACCTCCACCATCGCCTCCACCTCCACACCATCATCACCACCACCATCACCTCCATCACCTCTACCACCACCATCACCTCCACCACCTCCACCACCACCATCACTTCCATCACCACCACCATCATCATCACCTCCACCTCCACCACCACCATCACCTCCATCACCATCATCATCATCATCATCTCCACCATCATCACCACCACCATCATCACTCCATCACCTCCACCTCCATCATCACCACCACCATCATCACTCCATCACCTCCCCCATTGCCTCCAGCTCCACACCATCATCACCTCCATCACCACCACCATCACCTCCACCTCCACCACCATGATCACTCCATCACCACCACCATCATCACCACCACCTCTACCACCACCATCACCTCCATAACCTCCACCATCATCACCTCCATCACCTCCACCATCACCTCCACCACCATCATCACCTCCATCACCTCCACCTCCACACCATCATCACCTCCATCACCACCACCATCATCACCTCCATCACCTCCACCATCACTACCACCACCTCCATCATCACCTCCATCATCTCTACCATCACCTCCACCTCCATCATCACCTCCATCACCACCACCATCATCATCATCATCACCTCTACCATCACCACCACCACCTCCATCACCACCTCCATCATCTCCACCATCACCTCCACCACCATCATCACCTCCACCTCCACCACCACCATCACCTCCATCACCTCCACCTCCACCACCATCATCACCTCCATCACCATCATCATCATCATCACCTCCACCATCATCACCACCACCACCTCCATCATCACCTCCATCATCTCCACCATCACCTCCACCTCCATCATCACCTCCACCATCATCATCACCTCCATCATCTCCATCATCACCTCCACCTCCATCATCACCTCCATCACCACCACCATCATCATCATCATCACCTCTACCATCACCACCACCACCTCCATCACCACCTCCATCATCTCCACCATCACCTCCACCACCATCATCACCTCCATCACCACCACCATCATCATCACCTCTACCATCATCACCACCCCCACCTCTCCCCCACCCCCACCCCTACCCCTCTATCAGACCTAGGGGAGCCCAGGGAAATGCACAGAGCCGACTGTGCAGGTTCAGGAAGCCACCTGGCAACAGAGGAGGAAGAAAGCCACAGGTGGAAAGTCGATCGGTGTGATTTGAATCGACTCCTCTTACCAAGGTGTTCTGTTCTAGAAGTATCTTCTAGAACCAGACAGTAAAACAAGTGTGATGGAGGTGCATCCGCAGAGGGGCCTCCCCACCGCCCCTGTGCTCAGAAGCACACGCAGTGTCCTCCAGGGACGCCCAGTGCCGGCAGCCAAGCTCCGGTCTAGGTAGCTGGGGAAGGAGGCTGGGCTTTACGGCTCCAGAACAGAGAAGCCCAGACCACAGGCCGTGAAGCGTCTGCTTCACGCATGCCCCGGGTTGCTAGGTAGAGTCTCATCAAAGTGAGGTGTGATGGCTGAGGCCGGCTCAGCCCACCGCAAACACAGGGCAAAGGACACAGGTCTTCCTGGCAAGACTCAGGCTGACCCGGGCTCTTCAGCCTGTGAGGAGCCATAAGAGGAGGGCTACACAGGCGTCAGTATACGGAACAAACAGCTCACAGGGCTGGGAAGGTGGCTCAGTGGTAGAGCGCTTGCCTTGCATGCATGAGGCCCTGGGTTCGATTCCTCAGCACCACATAAGCAAAAAGAAAAAAAAGCCGGAAGTGACGCTGTGGCTCAAGTGGTAGAGCGCTAGCCTTGAGCTGAAGAGCTGAGGGACAGCGCCCAGGCCCAGAGTGACAAAAAATGAAATAAAAAACTAAATAGCTCACAGAAAAGACAGGAAGATGGTCAGACACAGGAATCCACCCTGAGAGATGCTGGGCAGTGTGTGTCCACCAGGGAGCACAGGGAGGCCGTGTAAGAGCGTGCACTGGAGCCGGGCGCCGGTGGCTCACGCCTGTCATCTTAGCTACTCAGGAGCTGAGATCTGAGGATCTCAGTTTGAAGCCAGTCCTGGCAGTAAAGTCTGTGGGACTCTTAGTTAATGAGCAAAGGAGCCACCGCTCAGGTGGTAGCGCGCTAGCCTTGAGTAATAAAGCTCAGGGACACCCAGGCCCTGAGTTCAAGCCTCAGTCTTGTGCTCCTCCCCCCAAAAGGGAGAGAAGAAACAAGAGCTGTGCTCCTGTTCATACTGCCTGTGTGCGTTGACCTCTTCGAGGGTATTGGGCCATCACTGAGGGGCAGCGGAGCAATCTGTACCCCTCCTACTCTGTGTATTCTTTGCAGTGAGTAAAAAGGTCAAACTCTTCTCTGTGGGTTTTCAGGGTTTTCAAAGCAAAGGTACTTGGTCCAAAGCCGCTCTATCCACCGGGGCTCCACTTGCTAAGTAAGACTTACAGGCCCAACCTCCAGACAAGCATCCCCAGGGGTTAGCCCAGGAGTCAAAGGGCAGGCTTCTGTCATTGTTATTTTGGAGATAAGTGCTGCCCAGAGCCTCTCCTTGATCTCAGCTGAACGGAGGCAACCTCTCTGGACCTCTACCATGAGAAGAGATTGTTGGAAAAGACCAAAGTCCTGGGCAGAAGGCGGCTGGGACCCGGCACTGTCAGAGCTCATGGCTTCTCACGGTCTGACTCAGGAACCCAGAAGCTCTTCTCCAGGAGACCTTTAGCTCAGTTCCCCCCAGAACAAAACACTCGTGCGTGGGGAGAGCAGCCTCGGGCAGCCTTGACCACCGGCATGAGGAGTCACAAGGACAGAGCAGAGGGAACACATCACCTCCATCCTGGAGAAGGGATGTAACAAACGTCCAGCCAGACCAAGCCTCCCATGAGCCTTCCCGCTGGTGGCCGCGGCCCTCCGCGAGCGGGCCAGCCACGTGCAGGACTGCCTTTCCCCCCCCCCCCCCACTCCTCCACAGCAGCCTCCCTCGCTCTGGGTGGTCACCTTCTACAACACGCTTGTCACACACACCTGGCATAGTTTGACAGCTGTCAGTCCTGTGGCACCAGCCCCTGACCTGGAGGGTCACCACTTTGCAGGGTCCACCGTTATGTCTGATCCCGCTGGATGCATGGGAGGGGGAAATGGAACCTGGGTCAAAATCTTAAATCAACATACAGGGAGTGAGGGCCTTGGCTCCCCTGTGTGTGTCAGCTTGGGTGAAGGCGGCTCAGGGTCCGGAAGGGGCCTACCCACCACCTCCAGGGCCCCCTCCACCTCCATGCACCTCTCTCCCACCTGCTGTGGGCAGGGAGCTCCTGGGGCCTGGAGGAGGACCTGCCCCGCTCTGTGGAGTCTTGAGAGGGAGGGCCCGGGCCGGGCCTCTCCTGATCCCCGGGGATCCCTCCCAGGACCGGGCCCTCTGACGCGCTCTCCTCCCTGCAGTGTTCCACCTGTCCCACAAGGTCACCAGGGTGGTCCCCGAAAGCGCTCTGCTCATCGTCTTGGGCGTGGTGCTTGGCGGCATCGTCTGGGCGGCCGACCACATTGCTTCCTTCACGCTCACGCCCACGGTCTTCTTCTTCTACCTGCTGCCGCCCATCGTGCTGGATGCCGGCTACTTCATGCCCAACCGGCTCTTCTTTGGCAATCTGGGCACCATCCTGCTGTACGCTGTCATCGGCACCGTGTGGAATGCAGCCACCACAGGCCTCTCACTCTACGGAGTCTTTCTCAGCGGCCTGATGGGTGAGTCCAGGCATTCCTGCCCGGTGGGTTCCGGGCACTCCACATAACAAAGTCAAGGTGTAGGTTGCCCAGCAGGTGATGAGCAGTGTCTCTGGTGGGCTCCCTTACCTTGAACCTTGGAAGGTTCAAGGCCTCACTGCATGTCTGTGGTATCCTCTTCCGCTCCACACACACCACCCCCTGGGCTGGCAGGTGGGTGGGACCGGTGGGCACGGGTGGCTGTTCCTCCTTTTGCCGTGTTCATCAGGGAGGAGGGGAACAACCAAGGAGCAAGCACTGGGTGGCATCTGGGCTCACGGAAGCTTGGTGCGGTGTATTTCTGCACACCATGACACCAGCCTCTCCTGCTGTAGTGGTTACTCAGCCCTGGCCAGTCCCGGGTGCACCTCCATCCTTGTGGCTGGATTTCTGTCCACTAGGGAGACTGAGAAAGTGAAGTCAATGTCAGCAGATATTTGGGGACAAGTCCAGAGTCACTGGGGATTTTCTCTCTAGCTTGGGGGGAAACATGGGGTAACTGAAATTCCCAGGCTAAAGAGACATGTCAGGGAAAAGGGAGTAGCAACTCTGGGGCGCGTCAGTCCAGCGGGGACCTTGCCCTTGCTAGGGTATCTCCACGGGCCCCGTGACATCTGGCATTGCTGGGCAGGGCGCCCCCAGGGTGAGCAGGCCCTGCCTGTGCTCTGGGGTGTGGTGCCGGAGGAGGTGGCTTCCTAGCACTGGTGATGCGCTACTCCTGTCACGGGACCCTGGGCCCTGGGGGAGTGGAGCAGGGCCTCCGGGGCCCGTGCCCCTGGCCTCGGCACACACACTCCTTCTCACTTGACTACCACTGGGTGTCCCAGACCACGGAGAAGCCGCCATTAGACGGAGCTGATGAGGAGGGAAAAAAACATGTCTCAGGGACAAATGGCTGAGTTTTGGCAAATGTGCTCACCCTGTCAACTACATGGCCATCCAGTTCTAAAACATTCCTATCACCTGGGATGTCCAGGTCTGCTTGTCTGCTGTAGTTGTATAGGACCATCCAGGAGCAATGCTGCCCTGCCCACAACAGACAGGGCCATTCTCCATAACCACACAGCTGCCAGCCACGCATAGCCATCGGGCCTCAGCTGGCCAGGCCGAGGTCATGGGGCAGGCAGGGCCTCCAGGCTAAGTCTGCTCTGCTCTACGAGTCACAGATCTGCTTCTGCAGATCCCCTGCTCAATGTTAGAAGAGCTCACAGACCTCAGAAGGGTTAGCCCAGGCTCTCATCCATCCCCTGCAGGTCTTCCTGTGTGTGTGTGTGCATGTGTGTGTGCACATGTATGTGTGTACACTGTGTATGTGTGTGCACGAGTAGGTGTGTATGTGTGCGCACGAGTATGTGTGTGCGCGCACAGGTGGATGTGTGTGCAAGTGCAGATGTGTGTATTGTATGCGTGCAATGTGTGTGCATGTGTACATGTGTGTAATGTGTATACATGAGCATATATGTGTGCACACGTGTACGTGTGTGTGTGTGTGTGTGTGTGTGTGTGCTGGTACTTGGAACTCAGGACCTTGTACTCTTGGCTTTTTCACTCAGGCTGTCACACTACCACTTGAACCACACCTCCACTTCTGACTTTTTGCTGGTGAATTGGAGATAAGAATCTCACATACTTTTCTGCCCAGTCTGGCTTTGAATCTCCATCCTCAGATCTTAACCAGCTCAGTAGCTAGGATTGAGGATGCGAGTCACCAGTGCCCAGCCCTGAGGTAGAGAGGGACCAGGCACACACGCTGTTAGCCATTCAGCCCACACACTTATGGAAGGGTGAGTGCAGCTCCGGTCTGCGCCCGTGCTTCCTGCAGGCCTGCGGGCCGAGCTCTGTCAGAGGACTGGAGCAAGACGCCAGTTGTGCCACAGGCGGTTTACGTCAGGACGGCCGGCGGGGCTGTGAGCTTCCACCTGTGGTTCCAAGCAGGAATTGGGTCCTTTAGGACAGCACTTGCCTAGCTTGTGCAAGGTCCTGGGTTGGTCCTCTGTCCACAAGAGTAAATAAATGACCTCAGGTGCTGTGGTTCTGACTGGAAGCTGGGAGACTTAGGACCTGGGAAGTGCAGTCTTCCCAGTCCCTGCTCCCCACTCCTTCCTGAGAGCCCCAGCCTCTGACCCTAGATCCAGGGTGGAGTCTGCAGCCCCAGTCATCCAGCCACAGCCCGGGCAGCTCTGGTACCTCAGCTGCCCCTAGACTCCCCCAAACCCGAGAGATGCCGAGATTGAGGATGGGGGCAGGGAGGGCCAGGGACCCCCACTCTGAGGACGGAGGCTGACCCTGGGCTGTGTCCGGGCTGTGCCCCCGCTTGGCCCGCTTGCCCTGCAGGTGAGCTGAGAATCGGGCTCCTGGACTTCCTGCTGTTCGGCAGCCTGATTGCTGCTGTGGACCCCGTGGCTGTGCTGGCTGTGTTTGAGGAAGTGCATGTGAACGAGGTCCTGTTCATTATCGTTTTTGGGGAGTCTCTGCTGAACGACGCGGTGACTGTGGTGAGTACAGGCGTTCCAGAGTGCCGGGGAGGGATAGATGCCCAGATGTGGAGGAAGCCGCAGACGCCTAGATGTGGACGCCCGAGGGATGGACGCGTGTCCCACGGGAGCTTAGGAGACAGCAGTGCCGTGCGGGTGTGTGTGGGGGGGGGTCCTGGGGACACAGCTGAGATCTAGCCAGAAAGCCAGCAAGTGGCTCAAGCCACAGTGGTCCAGTGGCTTCCCCATTCCTGTAGCCTCATGTGGGCCAACCACTTCCTGCGGGCGCCTCCTCCCCTCATTCTCAGAGAAGAATAGCACCACTGAGAGAGCAGGGATTTCACGTCTGCCTTGGATACCCCTGCCCCTTTGCCAACGCGGTGTGGAGACCAGCCTGCACCTCTGGCTGTGGGCTCATTGCTAGCATTGTTGGACAAGAGACAGAGACATCAGAGAAGCTGCTAGAAACAAAATTCTGGGCTCATCTGACAAATGAAAATCAATATATGGAGGGTTCATTTTATGGACACCTGTCTTGCCACAAACATCTGCCCAGAACATGTCCTGCCTGCGCTTCCCGTGGGCTGCCTCCTCCTCCTCCTCTTGATCCTGGTTACCATGTGCTAATGAGGGTCATCAGCTGCCTGGGCTGAGCCCAGAGAGGGTGCGTACTGACTGGCTGTGCTGCTCATCTCTGCCCCTTCAGGTCCTGTACAACGTATTTGAGTCTTTCGTGTCTCTGGGCGGTGACAACGTGACTGGTGTGGACTGCGTGAAAGGCATAGGTATGTGGCAGGCAAGTTCTACCAGCTCCACCCTCTGCTGGGATGTGGACCCACCCACCCCAGGCCTGCAGGCCCCGCCCACACACCCAAGGCCCCGCCCACACACCCAAGGCCCCGCCCTCCCTCAGGCCTGCAGAAAGAGGACCAGTGACTCCGCTCCTCCAGAGCAGCCCCCCACACCCCTCTGCTGCTGGGGACCTGAGCCCACACAGGAAAAGACCTTCCTGCCCCCTTACTGAGCTTGCCCCTCACTAACAACTGGTGAGGGCTTGGGATCCTGGGCCTCTCTCTGGAGCATATGGGGACAGCGCCTTCCTCTCCTGGGAAGAGTAGATGGACAGTGTCTGCGGATCAGGACCTGTGCTTGCCGGCAGCACTGTGGCTCCCTCCCCTGCTGCTCTCTGCGCTCCGCCTGGCGTCCAGGCCAGACCTTGACTAGAGAGCAGAGAGCTGGTCCTTGTGTCCTGAGCGGTGGCGGTCCCCGGTGTCCCCCGGAGGCCGCCCACCTGGCCAGCCCCCAGTGTCCCCCGGAGGCCGCCCGCCTGGCCAGCCCCCAGTGTCCCCCAGAGGCCGCCCGTCTGGCCAGCCCTCCACACCCCGCCACAAAGGCAGCCTCTTCCTCCCAGTGTCCTTCTTCGTGGTGAGCCTGGGCGGCACGCTGGTGGGGGTCATCTTTGCCTTCCTGCTGTCCCTGGTGACGCGCTTCACCAAGCACGTGCGCATCATCGAGCCTGGCTTCGTCTTCGTCATCTCCTACCTGTCCTACCTGACGTCGGAGATGCTGTCCTTGTCAGCCATCCTGGCGTAAGTCTCCCACTGGGGTGGGGGCGTGGGATGTGGCTCCTGAGCACCCAGGGCACTAAGGCCCAGGGAGGCCGATGCAGGCTGGAGAGCGGCCAGGAGGTATGTGTGTGGGCGTGGGCAGCGTACCCCCAGGGTTCCCAGAAGCGTGGCCCCACCCTGCCCTGTGAGGGGCACATCCCCCAGCCGCCTCCCCCCCCCTCTGGTGGAAATGCATTCTAGGGGTAGGTGGGTAAAGAATGCGATTTCATTTTTTAAATAAGGAGTTGGTGTTTCTGCAGAATTGCCCTTGCTGGCGTGGCCCTGAGGGGTATGGGGGAGGCTACGGCCAGATTCAAGAGTGACCTTTCCAGAAATCCCTGCCAACCCTCCCCCCCCCCTCACACCAGGCAGAGCCCAGGCATTCCAAGTCTGTCCTGGGCATACCCAAGGCCAAAGGCTGGGCCGTGATGGCTCTGGCGTACGGTACAAGCTGCCCCTTGGGTAGTTCCACATGCCAGCTTCACTGTGCCCAGGGGCTAGACAACCAGGTGGCTCCAGCTCAGGGCCTCAATCCACAGGAAGAGCCAGGTTCACACAGCCCAGGACGGACCCGAGGGACACGGGACTCTGCCGAGCTACTGGGGGGATGGGTTTTAGCAGGGGCTTTGGAGACACGGCCTGAGGGCCCTGTCCCCGAAGGGAGGACACACCACAGGCTCACACGGCCTCCGCTCCTCAGCATCACCTTCTGTGGCATCTGCTGCCAGAAGTATGTGAAGGCCAACATCTCAGAGCAGTCAGCCACCACCGTGCGCTACACCATGAAGATGCTGGCCAGCGGGGCTGAGACCATCATCTTCATGTTCCTGGGCATCTCGGCCGTGGACCCACTCATCTGGACGTGGAACACGGCCTTCGTGCTGCTCACTCTGGTCTTCATTTCTGTGTACCGGGCCATTGGTGAGTGTCCAGCCTCCCTCGGGCCGCTGGCTATGGATTCGGGGCCCTGAGACAGCACTCAAGGATCTGGGCCTTGACCCCATAAAGAGCAGGCTAGGTGCAGCCTAGGGGATCAAGGTGGAAAGTACCAGAACCTAGAGGGAACCCATTTCCTTCCCTCTAACTCAGCCAGGGATAAGGTCAGGAGGATGGGAGATGGAGCCTAGGCCAGAGTTCTGTCACTCCATCCTTCAGAGAACACCACCAGAAGGTGCATCTGAGTTGAGCCCACCACCACACTGTCCCCAGTCGGCTGGGGGACGGGGGGACGGAGGGACAGGGCTGTGGGAAAGAGCCACGCAGGGATGGCCACGCTGTCCCCAGTTGGTGGCAGAAGAGCCCTGGGGGTGTGGGGAGGCAGCACGGCGCTGAGCCCCCTCCCCACACAGGCGTGGTCCTACAGACCTGGATCTTGAACCGCTACCGAATGGTGCAGCTGGAGACCATCGACCAGGTGGTCATGTCCTACGGCGGGCTGCGTGGGGCCGTGGCCTACGCCTTAGTTGTGCTTCTGGACAAGAACAAGGTCAAGGAGAAGGACCTGTTTGTCAGCACCACGCTCATTGTGGTCTTCTTCACGGTCATCTTCCAGGTATGGTGGGGCTACCCTCCCCCTCCAAGCCCAGGCCACAGTCCCTTCCTGAGCGGTGGCCACTCCGGCATGGCAGGAGGGTGAACTTTTCCAGGCTCCAGACTCAAACTGGGTTTTGTAATTTTAGTAACTGGGCGTGTTTTGTAGGCTCCACAGCCCAGGGGACGCAGCACACTTCACCCTAAGTGCTCCTCCAGGCAGTGGCCCGGACAACGCCCGGTCAGCACACCGGCGCTGCCCAGCCGCCCAGCAGGGGTGGCCGGCTGGGGTGGGGGCCCCAGTGTGGGAGGAGGGGCCCGGTACCATACCCTGCTGTGTGTGTCACCCACAGACATGGGATCTGGGGTGTGGGGCTGGTGCTAGAGCCGCTCCGGTCTGTCTTCTAGGGCCTGACCATCAAACCCCTGGTGCAGTGGCTGAAGGTGAAGAGGAGTGAGCAGAGAGAGCCAAAGCTCAATGAGAAGCTGCATGGCCGGGTAGGGGTGGGGGGCAGTGGTGAGGGCTTGGAGGGAGGGGCAGGGGCAGTGGTGAGGGCTTGGAGGGAGGGGCAGGGGCAGGGGTGAGGGCTTGGAAGGGGAGAGATGGGGGAGGGCTTAGAGGGGGTGGGGTAAGGGGGAGGGCTTGGAGGAAGGGGCAGGGGCAGGGGTGAGGGCTTGGAAGGGGAGAGATGGGGGAGGGCTTAGAGGGGGAGGGGTAAGGGGGGAGGGCTTGGAGGAAGGGGCAGGGGCAGGGGTGAGGGCTTGGAGGGGCAGGGGCAGGGCTGAAGCTCAATCAGGATTTTTTTACCCCTTGAAAGGCTTTTGATCACATCCTCTCAGCCATCGAGGACATTTCTGGGCAAATTGGACACAATTATCTCAGAGATAAGTAAGTAGCCTGTAGTCTGGCTGGGCTAACGTGGGATGACTTGCTCTGAACCCCTTCTCGCTCACCTTTTAGTAAGCAGCCCCTTGATCATAGGCAGCAAGGCACAGGTGAGCCAGGGCCACCAACAGCAAAGCCACCGCGATCGTGTCACCAAGATTCAAGCACCACAAAGCCCAGTTTCTGTCGGAGGCCAGTGCCTGAATTATCTGGTTTCAAGGCTGGTCCTGAAGTGTGTGTGTGTGTGTGTGTGTGTGTGTGTGTGTGTGTGTGTGTGTGTGTAACATCTTAACAACCGACCAGGGCTGTGTGTCCCCTCGGCTGGGGACCAGCTCTGTACCAGACCCATACAAGGTAAAGGAAGTGAACACCGCAGAGGAGGTGGGTCACAAGCCAGAAATGCAAATCTTAGGTCTGCTGCTTTTCCATCTCAAGGCCACTTAATTCTAAATTACGTGAGAATTAAAAATCAGAAAATATTTTACTTTCCTCACTCACCAACAGAGGAAGGGTTAGTAGTCCATACATATTTTACATGATTTTGTTCAGGAAACTGAAATCATCAGCTGGTGGCTCACGCCTGTCATCCTAGCTACCCAGGAGGCTGAAATCTGAGGATCACGGTTCAAGGCCAGCCCAGGCAGGAATGTCTGTGAGACTCTTATCTCCAGTTAACCACTAAAAAGCCAGAAGTTGGGCTTTGGCTCCAATGGTAGAGCTCCAACCTTAAACACAAAAGCTCTGGGACAATGCCCAGGCCCTGAGTTCAAGCCCAGGACCAGCACACACGCATAAAAATTCCTGTGTTGGACCACTTGAAGCTGCAGAGTGACCTTGAGCCGAGCCCCCAGGCAGTGTGGTCTGGGGGCTATCACTGGCCACGGGCATCTCCACTCTAGACCCTTCCTGTACTACCTGTCCAGGTCAGATGCTGACTGGAAACTTGTTCCGAGTGTAGCACAGATGACACCTGCCTCTCTGCACGCGTGTAGATGATAAGCACTGCCAGATGGGAGAAGAAACGGGGCACGAGGCAGGGCAGTGGAAGGCCGGCACCTTCAAGGGTGTTCACAGAGCCCAGCAGGGAAGGGGGGTCTTGCCGGGCCACCCCTTCTGTGGGGACCTCTGTCTGCCCTCGCCCTGTGTGGGGGGGCTGGGCACTGGCTGATGCTGTGTGCTGTCCGCCCAGGTGGTCCAACTTCGACAGGAGGTTCCTCAGCAAGGTCCTCATGAGAAGGTCAGCCCAGAAGTCTCGAGATCGGATTCTGAATGTTTTCCACGAGCTGAACCTGAAGGATGCTATTAGCTATGTGGCTGAGGTACCAGAACATTCCATTTGTCTTCAGCTGGAGAACTGAGGGCTAAGGCACATGGATGCTGGGTGTGGTCTGGCGGGCGGGGGGCATACCCCCTGTGTGCGTGGCCCCTGCATGTCCTCCAGTGCTCCAGAAATATGGTTAGTGCCCCATCCCTCATGAGAAACAGGCACAGACCCAGGACTCTCCCTTGGGCAATGGTTGTGGTGTGTCTCAGTGTGACGTCAGACCTCTGAACTCCTGCACTTTCTCTTCAGAGACAGGAGAGGTCAGGAAAGCAGGAAGAGAGTACTGGACCAAGGCCCCTGACATACACATATGTGTGCACAAGTAGACACACACATAATTACACATGCCATACATGTGTGTACTCATACATGCATACAAACTGCATGCACACAAACACAGGGGTATGCATGTGCACAATCACATGCACACACACGGGTACAGTACAGATGCATACACATATGTGCACTTATGCCTGTGCACACATGCACACAACTCATCTATTCATGCAATGGGTGTGCATGCAAACACCACACACAAGTGTGTAGGTGTCCATCTATTCATAAACATATATGTACGCATGCACACGTGTGGTCAGCATATGCAGTGTATAATGTATGCGTGCACAAACATGTGCACATGTCAACGCACATATATACACATGTGCATGCACACGCATGCCTATTCACACATGGCACACATAGATGTGCAGACACATCAAGGAACCACAAGAACGGTGCCTCTATCTCCTGCCTCCCCCAGGCAAATAGGCCTCTCCCAAGTCTGTTAGGGACAGAGTAAAGGGCTCTACACACGCGTGTGTCCAGACACCTCCAGGTGGGACCTTAGAGAGCCAGGTTGGCAGTGTGGGGAAGGGCAAGGCACTGGCTGTGTTCAGCAAGCACCCACCTCAGCTCCGGCCGGAGAACAGGACGTGTGGGGTCACAGGAGTGAAGGGCAGGTCACGGCAGGTCCTGGAAGACAGAAGCCATGTGTGTGACCATTCGTGCCCCTTCCCATGTCCCATGTGTGTCCCCCAGATATTCCCAGCCCTGGGCTCTGTGGGTTTTAACTCTGCACAGGTCCTTCAGGACACTGCCATTCAGAGTGGCCTCAGCCTCAGAGATCATGCAGAAGGCGAAAGACCCAACTTTTGGGGGCCTTGGATGCCCTGGTCACCTCTGCGACTTGAGGGAAGATGGAAGGGGCTGGGCTGGAGGTCTCTGAGCTGCTCCTGGGCTCTGACCTCCTTGTAGTGTGGGTGCCAGGCAGGGATGAGCTTTCTCTCCGTCACCCACCAGCCAGTGTATCCTTACCCATCACCCCAGGAGCCATGGCTCCCGGGCCCTGGGGTGGTGAGTCCACAGCTCTGGTCCTGCCCTGTGCCTGTTCCCACACACGGCCAGACCCCCCAGCCATGCTCCTCGGCTTGGAGAGCCGTCTGCTTTCCTCCTGATGTTGCCTGGCACTCTTGGAGCCCCAGGACATCCTCCCTGATCTGACCTGGTTAAGGGAAGCCAGCTCCTGGACCTTCCCCCGAGCATCTCCTCTGAAGGAAGGCACAGGCCTGTCCGATCTCGAAAACTGTGGAGGACAGCCATGGGGACATAGTTACAGAGGGATGGACACTGGCCAGGACTGGCTGTCTTCCCTGGGGCCCTTCAGGCTGTAGACCACTATGACCTGTGCTCCAAGGTCGTGCCCTTGGCTGACTCCCACCGTCTGGCTGTGTTGTCTTCACCTAAGACTGCTCTGGGCCGGAGGCCACCGCCCGCCCATGCGCAGGGAGGGTTCCCAGGCGGTTCTGTCTTGGTTGCCCCCGGGGGCTTGGCTGTGGCTTCTAGCTCGTGGTTTGTCTCAGCCTGCTCGGAGCAGTGGGGTGTCGCTCACAATTACACAAGGGCTTGGGGTGGGCTAGCCCCCCCGGCTCTGTCTGTTTGCGAGGACCCTGGCCGGTGTGAGCCTTCGCCTGGCAGGCGCTGCGCGCTGGCGCGGTGCGCTCAGGAGGCTGTGTGTCCTCCTTGCAGGGCGAGCGCCGAGGGTCTCTGGCCTTCATTCGCTCCCCAAGCACAGACAACATGGTCAACGTGGACTTCAGCACACCTCGTCCGTCCACCGTGGAGGCCTCTGTCTCCTACCTCTTGTACGTGTCTCCAGTGACAGGTTTTGGAAGAGGCCTTGGAGCCTGCTGGTGGGCGCGGGTCCCTCTAAGCAGGGGTTGTAAATGGGGGTGGCCCAGGGCGGGAGCCTACATTTCCTCCTGAAGAAGTCCACCCTAGACAGGAAAAAGGGATGGAGGGGGGAGGGGGGAGAGAGGGAGGGAGGGAGGGGGGACCCACAGCAGCCTCTTCTGGGCTGGGATAGGGAAGGTGGCTTGAGCTCCTAGCTACACTTTGGAGGGGATCCTGTGAGCGGGTGTGGGTGTGTGAGAAGGCAGAGGGCCTGTGGGAGTCAATCCAAACCTTGAGGAGCAGAGAGCTAGCCCGGTGTCCGGGAGTCCAGGCCTGGGCAGGAGCCCCGGACTAAGCAAGGGTCCTGTGCAGGAGGGAGAATGTCAGCACCGTGTGCTTGGACATGCAGTCCCTGGAACAGAGGCGGAAGAGCATCCGAGACACCGAGGACATGGTCACTCACCACACGCTGCAGCAGTACCTGTACAAGCCCCGGCAGGAGGTGGGCTGGGGGGCGGGCCACGCGCTCGGGGCGCCTGGCTGGCGATGGGGTCCTTCCCGAGCCCCCCCCCCCCGCGCTCCCCTCCCCCCCCCCCGCCCTCCCTGCGGGGATCCTGTGCGGCCCAGCCTGACCACTGCGGCCACCTCTGCAGTACAAGCACCTCTACAGTCGGCACGAGCTCACGCCGAGCGAGGATGAGAAGCAGGACAAGGAGATTTTCCACAGGACCATGAGGAAGCGCCTGGAGTCCTTCAAGTCAGCCAAGTTGGGCCTCAACCAGAATAAGAAGGCAGCAAAGCTGTACAAGAGGGAGCGCGCGCAGAAGCGGGTAAGGTGCTGGGGGCTGGGGTCACGGGTCAGGGAGAGTGAACAGGCCAGGCTGTTGGTGCGGTTGGGGTCATGGGCAGGGTCATCTGCCGGGATGTGAGGTCGGGGGACACGGGTGGGGTCACTGGGGTCTGCAAAGTCCCCTCCACGGCCTCTTGGGCAGCTCCACGGCCCAGGCCCCCTCCCCTGGGCCTGGCCCCCGGCCTGGAGCGGACACATCTCCAAGGACCCCTCTTGTCCACAGAGGAACAGCAGTATCCCCAATGGAAAGCTGCCGGTGGAGAATCCCGCACTCAGCTTCATCCTCCAGGAGAAAGGTACTGCGCACCCCTCACCAGAGGACCCCTGGCCTGGGGCTCCAGCGCCCTCCACCCCCCGCCCTGCCCACCCTCAGTCCCAGTGCTGCCTTTCCTTCCTGTTCAACACCCCCCCAACAACAAAAGGCCAGCCACACATAGGGGGTGTGGGGGTCGGGCGGGGTGCGTCCCCATTGCTGCCAGCACTGCAGGGTCAGAGCGGTAGAGAACAAGCCCACGGCACACAGCAAGCGTGTGACCCGTGACACCCTCACCCCTACCTCCTCCCCACAGAGCTGGAGCTTTCAGAGCCGGAGGAGACCCCGGAATACCAAGCAGAGGAAACCAGCGGGGGAATCGAGTTCCTAGCGAATGTCACGAAGGACGTGGCCTTAGACTCCTCAGCAGGTGAGAGCGGAGGCCGGCCAGGCTCCCAGCGCCGTCCTCCTCTGCTCAGATGGCTGGCGCTTCTGGCGGATCAGCCAGGGTCTCTGTGTGGAGAGGAGGAGCGTATGCCCAACCTGGCTGCCGTTTGTGGGGTCCCAGGTTGGAGGGAAGGCTTGGCGTGCGCGGCCCCACAAACTAAAAGGTACAGTACTGTCCGGTGCTGGGGCTCATGCCTATAATCCTAGCTGAGATCTGGAGGACTGTCACTCAGGACAGCCCCCGCAGTTAAGCTTGTTAGACTCTATCTCCAAGATAGAAAAAAGTAATAGTAAAAGCTGGGCTAGAGGCATGGCTGAAGTGGTTAGAGAGCCAGCCGAGCAAGTGCTCGTGTGAGGCCCTGCGTGCAGGCCCTGGAAGCAGCCACAGGAGAGAGAAGAGAGCCGGACGGGCCTCCAGTGCCTGCGCAGGCGATGGCGCCGAGCAGCTGGCGTCGGCCCCACCTCCCGCGCTGCAGGTGCTTCTGGGAGCTGACCAGCTGCTGCCCTTTTTCCTAGGCATTGACAACCCCGTGTTCTCCCCGGATGAGGATCTGGACCCGAGCCTCCTGTCCAGGGTGCCGCCCTGGTTGTCCCCTGGGGAGACCGTGGTACCCTCTCAGAGGGCCCGAGTTCAGATCCCCCACTCTCCCGGCAACTTCCGCCGTCTGACGCCATTCCGCCTCAGCAACAAATCGGTGGACTCCTTTCTTCTGGCCGATGGCTCGGAGGAGCGGCCTCCTGGCGCTGTCCCGGAGTCCACACACATGTAACGGGTCCTTGTTCCCTAACACCTGCTCTTTTCTCAGCTGTTTTCTTCAGGTCCCTTTCCAGACTCTCCTCAGCTCTCTTTTCCCTCTAGAACCTGTCCCCAGGTCCTCTGTGTGGCTGACTGGTCTGAGGTCTGGCATGGTGGCACATGCCTATAGTCCCAGTACCCGGGAGGCAGAAGCAGAGCCTGGGCTTCACAGGGCGCCCAGGCCGGCCGGGGCCACGCACAGAGGGAGGTGGGGATCTGACTTGCGGGGACCGTGAGGAGTTACTTCAGATCTCTAGCTGGCCACAGGCTACGGGGTGGTGGCTGGGTCTCACGCGTGTCCAGAGGGACCAGAGCGGAAGGCTAGGAGCCACCAGGGAGCGCTAGGGGACAGGTCTGGGAGAGTAGGAGTCGCTTCCAGCCTCTGACCGCTGGGGAAGGGGCAGGGGAGGCTGGGAAGGGGCAGGTGGGTCCTGGGGGTTCCAGGGTGCCTGGGATCTGGGGTGCCTGGGGGTCCGGGGGCCTGGGGGATCCCGGGGTCTGGGAATCCGGAGGCCTGGGGATTCAGGGAGCCTGGGGAATCTGGGGGGTCCAGGGAGCCTGGGGATCCGGTGGTCGGGGAGCCTGGGGGATCCGGGAGCCTGGGGTTCCGGGGAGCCTGGGGATCTGGGGATCCGGTGGTCAGGGAGCCTGGGGATCTGGTGGTCGGGGAGCCTGGGGGCCTGGGGATCCGGTGGTCGGGGAGCCTGGGGGCATGGGGTCCTGGGGGTCCAGTGGTTGGGGGGGTCGGGGAGTTGGGGGATCCGGGAGCCTGGGGTTCAGGGATCTGGGAGCCTGGGGGATCCAGGAGCCTGGGGGTTCCGGGGAACCTGAGATCCGGGGATCTGGTGGGGCCCGGAGGTCTGTGGGGCCCAGGGGTCTGTGGGGCCCAGGGGTCTATGGGGTTAGGGGGTCTGTGGGGCCCGGGAGTTGGTCTGTGGGGTCTGTGGGGCCCGGGAGTCTATGGAGTCCGGGGGTCTGGCGGGGCCCGGAAGTCTGGGGGTCCCGGGGGTCTGTGGGGTCCGGGGGTCTGTGGGGCCCGGGGTTCTGGGGGTCCTGGGGGTCTGTGCAGTCCTGGGGGTCCGGCGGGGCCGGGGGTCTATGGGGTCCTGGGGGTCTGGCGGGGCCGGGGGTCTGTGGGGTCTGGGGGTCTCGAGGATCTGTGGGGTCCTGGCTGTCTGGGGGGCCATGGGTCTGTGGGGTCCTGGGGGGCCCGGGGGTCTGTAGGGTCCTGGGGGCCTGGGGGGCCCCGGGGTCTGTGGGATCCGGGGGTCTGTGGGGTCCAGGGGGCCCAGGGGTTTGTGGGGTTGGGGGGTCTGTGGGGCCCGGGAGTTGGTCTGTGGGGTCTGTGGGGCCCGGGAGTCTGTGGAATCCGGGGGTCTGACGGGGCCCGGAAGTCTGTGGGGTCTGGGGGTCTGGTGGGGCCCGGAAGTCTGTGGGGTCTGGGGGTCCCGGGGGTCTGTGGGGTCTGTGGGGCCCGGGGGTCTGTGGGTCCCGGGGGTCTGTGGGGCCCGGGGGTCTGTGGGGCCCCGGGGTCTGGGGGGTCTGTGGGGTCTGGGGGATCTGTGGGGTCTGTGGGGCCCCGAGGTCTGGGGGGCCTGGGGGGTCTGTGGGGCCCGGGGGTCTCGGGGGGGGGTCTGTGGGGTCCAGGGGTCTGTGGGGCCCGGGGGTCTGTGGGGTGCGAGGGTCTGTGGGGCCCGGGGGTCTGTGGGGTGCGGGGGTCTGTGGGGCCCGGGGGTCTGTGGGGTCTGGGGGTCTGTGGGGCCCGGGGGTCTGTGGGGTCTGTGGGGTCCCGGGGGTCTGTGGGGTCCCGGGGGTCTGTGGGGATCTGTGGGGCCCGGGGGTCTGTGGGGTCTGGGGGTCTGTGGGGCCCGGGGGTCTGTGGGGTCTGGGGGTCTGTGGGGCCCGGGGATCTGTGGGGTCCCGGGGGTCTGTGGGTCTGGGGGTCTGTGGGGCCTGGGGGTCCCGGGGATCTGTGGGGCCTGGGGGTCTGTGGGGTCTGTGGGGCCCGGGGTCTGTGGGGCCTGGGGGTCTGTGGGGCCTGGGGGTCTGTGGGGTCTGGGGGTCTGTGGGGCCTGGGGGTCTGTGGGGCTCGGGGGTCTGTGGGGTCCCGGGGGTCTGTGGGGTCTGGGGGTCTGTGGGGTCTGTGGGGCCTGGGGGTCCCGGGGATCTGTGGGGCCCGGGGGTCTGTGGGGTCCCGGGGGTCTGTGGGGTCTGTGGGGCCCAGGGTCTGTGGGGTCTGGGGGTCCCGGGGGTCTGTGGGGTCTGGGGGTCCCGGGGATCTGTGGGGCCTGAGGGTCTGTGGGGTCCCGGGGGTCTGTGGGGTCTGTGGGGCCTGGGGGTCTGTGGGGTCCCGGGGGTCTGTGGGGTCCGGAGATCTGGGGGGCCCAGGGTTCTGTGGGGGCCCAGGGGTCTGTGGGGTCTGGGGGTCTGTGGGGTCTGTGGGGTTCGGGGGTCTGTGGGGTCTGTGGGGCCCGGGGGTCTGTGGGGCCCGGGGGTCTGTGGGGCCTGGGGGTCTGTGGGGCCCGGGGGTCTGTGGGGCCCGAGGGTCTGTGGGGTCCCGGGGGTCTGGGGGTCTGTGGGGTCCCGGGGGTCTGTGGGGTCCCGGGGGTCTGTGGGGTCTGTGGGGCCCGGGGGTCTGTGGGGTCCCGGGGGTCTGTGGGGTCCCGGGGGTCTGTGGGGTCTGTGGGGCCCGGGGGTCTGTGGGGCCCGGGGGTCTGTGGGGTCCCGGGGGTCTGTGGGGTCTGGGGGTCTGTGGGGCCCGGGGGTCTGTGGGGTCTGTGGGGCCCGAGGGTCTGTGGGGTCCCGGGGGTCTGTGGGGTCCCGGGGGTCTGTGGGGTCCCGGGGGTCTGTGGGGCCCGGGGGTCTGTGGGGCCCGGGGGTCTGTGGGGTCCCGGGGGTCTGTGGGTCCCGGGGATCTGTGGGGTCTGGGGATCTGTGGGGTTTGGGGGTCTGTGGGGTCCCGGGGGTCTGTGGGGTCCGTGGGGTCTGTGGGGTCCGGGGGTCTGTGGGGTCTGTGGGGTCTGTGGGGTACGGGGGGCCTGTGGGGTCTGTGGGGCCCGGGGGTCTGTGGGGTCTGTGGGGCCCGGGGGTCTGTGGGGTCTGTGGGGCCCGGGGGTCTGTGGGACCCGGGGGTCTGTGGGGCCCGGGGGTCTGTGGGGTCCGGGGGTCTGTGGGGCCCGGGGGTCTGTGGGGTCTGGGGGTCTGTGGGACCCGGGGGTCTGTGGGGCCCGGGGGTCTGTGGGGTCCGGGGATCTGTGGGGTCCGGGGGTCTGTGGGGCCCGGGGGTCTGTGGGGTCCCGGGGGTCTGTGGGGTCCGGGGGTCTGTGGGGTCCGGGGGGCCCGGGGTCTGGGGGGTCTGTGGGGCCCGGGGGTCTGTGGGGCCCGAGGGTCTGTGGGGTCCAGGGGGCCCAGGGGTCTGTGGGGTCCGGGGGTCTGTGGGGCCCGGGGGTCTGTGGGGTCCGGGGGTCTGTGGGGCCCAGGGGTCTGTGGGGTCCGGGGGTCTGTGGGGCCCGGGGGTCTGTGGGGTCCGGGGATCTGTGGGGTCCGGGGGTCTGTGGGGCCCGGGGGTCTGTGGGGTCCGGGGGTCTGTGGGGTCCGGGGGGCCCGGGGTCTGGGGGGTCTGTGGGGCCCGGGGGTCTGTGGGGTCCGGGGGTCTGTGGGGCCCGGGGGTCTGTGGGGTCTGGGGGTCTGTGGGACCCGGGGGTCTGTGGGGCCCGGGGGTCTGTGGGGTCCGGGGATCTGTGGGGTCCGGGGGTCTGTGGGGTCTGGGGGTCCCGGGGATCTGTGGGGTCCGGGGATCTGTGGGGTTTGGGGGTCTGTGGGGTCCCGGGGGTCTGTGGGGTTTGGGGGTCTGTGGGGTCCGGGGGTCTGTGGGGTTTGGGGGTCTGTGGGGTCCCGGGGATCTGTGGGGTTTGGGGGTCTGTGGGGTCCGGGGGTCTGTGGGGTCTGTGGGGTCCCGGGGGTCTGTGGGGTCTGTGGGGGTCTGTGGGGTCTGTGGGGCCCGGGGGTCTGTGGGGTCTGTGGGGCCCGGGGTCTGGGGGTCTGTGGGGGCCCGGGGTCTGTGGGACCCGGGGGTCTGTGGGGTCCGGGGGTCTGTGGGGTCCGGGGGTCTGTGGGGCCCGGGGGTCTGTGGGGTCCGGGGGTCTGTGGGACCCGGGGGTCTGTGGGGCCCGGGGGTCTGTGGGGTCCGGGGATCTGTGGGGCCCGGGGGTCTGTGGGGCCCGGGGGTCTGTGGGGTCCGGGGATCTGTGGGGTCCGGGGGTCTGTGGGGCCCGGGGGTCTGTGGGGTCCGGGGGTCTGTGGGGTCCGGGGGTCTGTGGGGTCCGGGGGGCCCGGGGTCTGGGGGGTCTGTGGGGCCCGGGTGTCTGTGGGGCCCGAGTGTCTGTGGGGTCCAGGGGGCCCAGGGGTCTGTGGGGTCCGGGGGTCTGTGGGGTCCGGGGGGCCCGGGGTCTGGGGGGTCTGTGGGGCCCGGGGGTCTGTGGGGCCCGAGGGTCTGTGGGGTCCAGGGGGCCCAGGGGTCTGTGGGGTCCGGGGGTCTGTGGGGTCCGGGGGTCTGTGGGGTCCGGGGGTCTGTGGGGTCTGTGGGGCCCGGGGGGGTCTGTGGGGTCTGTGGGGTCTGTGGGGCCCGGGGGTCTGTGGGGTCTGTGGGGTCCGGGGATCTGTGGGGCCCGGGATCTGTGGGGATCTGTGGGGCCCGGGGGTCTGTGGGGTCTGTGGGGCCCCGGGGTCTGTGGGGTCCGGGGATCTGTGGGGTCCGGGGGTGCCTGGGGGTCTGTGGGGCCCCGGGGTCTGGGGGGGTCTGTGGGGTCCGGGGGTCTGTGGGGTCCGTGGGTCTGGGGGTCCGGGGTCCCGGGCTGTGGGTGTGGCCGAGGCCCCGCTGCGCGCGGGCCCGGGGTGCGGGTCCCGCCCGGCCGGCCGCTCACGCCCCGCTTTCCCGCAGGTGACCCCGGCCCCGCCGCGCCGCCGACCGCACATCCGTCTCCGTCTCCGCGTCGGGCGGCCCCGCTGGCGCTGCAGCTCCCCGCGGGGGCCCCGCGTCCGCGCGCAGGCCCGGAGAGCCCCGCGCCCGGCCCGGCCTCCGCGCATGCGCGATCGGCGGCCGCCCGGCGCGTGCGCAGCCGCCGCTCCTTCCAGCGGCCCCGCGGGCGCCGGCGGCCCGCGCTGCTCAAGCTGGCCTCGCTGCCCGCGCCCGGGGAGCTGGCCCCGCACACGCTGGAGCAGGAGGAGACGCCGCTGTGAGCCGCCGGGCCCGGGCCCGAACCCCGGGACCGCGCCCCCTCCGCGGCGGGCTTCCCGCCGTGGTCCGCTGTGGTGTTTGGGGTTTGCTGGACGCGCGCCCCCGCCCCCGACCACGCCCCGGCCACGCCCCCAGCCTCCCCACGCCCCCGACTACGCCCCGGCCACACCCCGCCCCCGACTACGCCCCGACCACGCCCCCGCCTTCACCCCGGCCACGCCCCCAGCCTCCCCACGCCCCCCGGCCACGCCCCCAGCCTCCCCACGCCCCCGGCCACGCCCCCAGCCTCCCCACGCCCCCGGCCGCGCCCCTGGCCGCCCCTCCAGACAAGCGGCTACCGGAGGAAGCCTATCCGGGACTCCAAGCCGACCTGCGGCCCCGCCCTGCGGCCCACCCCGAGGCCTGTGTGGGCCCGAGGGCCTTAGCCGGGGCGGGCTGCACTGCAGCCAGAAGCCCAGTCCGGAATGGGGGCCGCCCAGACTTGGCCTCGTGCAGCGCCCGTGCTCCATGGACCTGGATTCGGGGACAAGCCTCACCTGTCCTCAGGCCCAGCCCCTCACCTCCAGTCCTCAGGCCCAGCCCCTCACCTCCCGTCCTCAGGCCGGGCCCCAAACCTCCCGTCCTCAGGCCCGGCCCCAAACCTCCCGTCCTCAGGCCGGGCCCCTCACCTCCCGTCCTCAGGCCGGGCCCCAAACCTCCCGTCCTCAGGCCGGGCCCTCACCTCCCGTCCTCAGGCCGGGCCCCAAACCTCCCGTCCTCAGGCCGGGCCCCTCACCTCCCGTCCTCAGGCCGGGCCCCAAACCTCCCGTCCTCAGGCCCGGCCCCTCACCTCCCGTCCTCAGGCCGGGCCCCTCACCTCCCGTCCTCAGGCCCGGCCCCTCACCTCCCGTCCTCAGGCCCGGCCCCAAACCTCCCGTCCTCAGGCCGGGCCCTCACCTCCCGTCCTCAGGCCGGGCCCTCACCTCCCGTCCTCAGGCCGGGCCCCTCACCTCCCGTCCTCAGGCCCGGCCCCTCACCTCCCGTCCTCAGGCCGGGCCCTCACCTCCCGTCCTCAGGCCGGGCCCTCACCTCCCGTCCTCAGGCCGGGCCCTCACCTCCCGTCCTCAGGCCGGGCCCCCCACCTCCCGTCCTCAGGCCCGGCCCCAAACCTCCCGTCCTCAGGCCGGGCCCCTCACCTCCCGTCCTCAGGCCCGGCCCCCCACCTCCCGTCCTCAGGCCTGCCGCCCCACTGCCCCGCGGATGCATGGGCCATTTCTACCCGAGGACATTACTTGCCTCATGACACTGACCAGAGTACTGAAGAGCACAAAATCCCAGGAAGTTGCTATTTCTCACATCCATAGCCCTGTGGTGTCCAGTGTGCTGTACACACTGATCCCTAGCAAAGGCAAGTCCAACACCTCCATCTAGGCTGGAACCGTGGGTGTGCGGACTGCAGTACCCGTGATCCCAACCACAGGACGAGGCGGTGTGTGGACTGCGAGCACCCGTGATCCCAACCACAGGACAAGGCGGTGTATGGACTGGAGTACCCATGACCCAACCAACCACAGGACGAGGCAGTGTATGGACTGGAGTACCCGTGACCCCACCAACCACAGGACAAGGCAGTGTATGGACTGGAGTACCCGTGACCCAACCACAGGACAAGGCAGTGTATGGACTGGAGTACCCGTGACCCCAACCAACCACAGAACGAGGCAGTGTATGGACTGGAGCACCCGTGACCCAACCACAGGACAAGGCAGTGTGTGGACTGGAGCAACGGTGACCCCAACCACAGGACAAGGCAGTGTATGGACTGGAGCACCTGTGACCCAACCACAGGACGAGGCAGTGTATGGACTGGAGCACCCGTGACCCAACCACAGGACGAGGCAGTGTATGGACTGCATGCAGTACCCGTGACCCAACCACAGGACGAGGCAGTGTATGGACTGCATGCAGTACCCGTGACCCAACCACAGGACGAGGCAGTGTATGGACTGGAGCACCCGTGACCCAACCACAGGACGAGGCAGTGTATGGACTGGAGCACCCGTGACCCCAACCACAGGACAAGGCAGTGTATGGACTGGAGCACCCGTGACCCAACCACAGGACGAGGCAGTGTATGGACTGGAGTACCTGTGTTCCCAACCAACCACAGGACGAGGCAGTGTATGGACTGGAGTACCTGTGTTCCCAACCAACCACAGGACGAGGCAGTGTATGGACTGGAGTACCTGTGTTCCCAACCAACCACAGGACGAGGCGGTGTGTGGACTGGAGCACCCGTGACCCCAACCACAGGACAAGGTGGTGTATGGACTGGAGCACCCGTGACCCAACCAACCACAGGACGAGGCGGTGTGTGGACTGGAGCACCCGTGACCCCAACCACAGGACAAGGTGGTGTGTGGACTGGAGTACCCGTGACCCAACCACAGGACGAGGCGGTGTGTGGACTGGAGTACCCGTGACCCAACCACAGGACGAGGCAGTGTATGGACTGCAGTACCTGTGTTCCCAACCAACCACAGGACGAGGCGGTGTGTGGACTGGAGCACCCGTGACCTAACCACAGGACGAGGCAGTGTATGGACTGGAGCACCCGTGACCCCAACCTCACATATGCTGCGGTGTGTGGCACAGCCCGCCACCTCTGGACCGGTTCTATTAAAGACATGTCAGGGCATTCTGGGCTTACTTTGTTAGAAAAGAAAGATCTTTCTAGGAGGATGGAAGAATCCAGTTCCTCAGGAACACAGGTCTGCATTAGGAGTAACAGGAGAGGGTTGTGTGTTCCCTGTAAGGCAGGGTGAGGAGGTCACGTGCGGCCCCTCGGGTGAAGCACTAGGCCCAGTTCACTCACACGCAGCTCTCACACCATCGCTCAGACCTGCACGGTGACCAGGTCTTTGATGACAGCAACGTTGTCCACTAGGTCTGAGGGAGCAAACGGAGCAAGACGAGCTGGGCCTAGTGGTCAGGACGGTCTCTGGAAGTCCAGCGAGGACGGCAGGTGGCAGAGTATGCCTGTGTGGTAGAGCCTGCCAGGGTTTGAGATGAGGTCCAGGTATCCCAGAGACACATTTTTATTTTAATAAATTTTAAAATGTTTAGGTCTGAGTACAATTCCCACTACGTAAAAGTCTAACTGGTCAATTCACAGCATGTAACAAATGAGCCAGAAAACAGCAGATAACGCACCTGGGTGAGTGGCAGGGGGACTGACTTTGGAAGCAGTCTGAGGTATAGGGGCGGTGGAAGCCCCTTCCACTGGCCGGACCCCCAACTGTCTCCTAACATCTCCTACATGGCGCCCACCATATCCCCATGTGACTTCCTCTCACCTTGCCACACAACATTTATGACTCTAGGTCCGTCTCCAGGCAGCACCGTTCAGCACTGCGTGAGGTAGCCCTGCCCTTCAGCCTCCCCTGAGCTCCGGAGGAAAGCTGTGGGGAACAGTCACCTGCGCAGGATGCCACCCTTTCTCAACAGAGGAGACTCTGTCTCTAGATGCCAGCAGAGACAGATGGAATAGCATCATCTGGTAGCCACTTGTGTAACTCACCAGTGACCCAGAAGCACTACCTCACTCTTTGAAACCCACCACCAAGGAACTTAGCTATAGAGTAGCAGCTCCCTCACTCCATGAAGGATTAAGCCGACACAAATGTGGTGAGTAGAGCCTTCCTTTCCCGGTCCAGCCCGTGGCAGAATAAGCTCTTGTGCAGGAAGCTGATACCCTGTGGTATAGTCAGCCCCTGGTGTAACACTCTTAATTAGCCTAAAATGAATGATTACTGTACAAAACTATGGCACTGTTGAAGGCAGACCCCATGAAGGACAGCTGAATTAGGGAAAGACAGTTTAGGGGACTCTGTATTGGAAAAGAGCATGACACATGGATAGGGAAATGTATGCCGTGTTTCTTGTTCTCCAGGTGTGACTGGTTGGTTGGTCCTCCTCTGGGTGGGGCTCACTGGGCCCAGGTGAGTCTCTCCTTTATTGAGAGAACTGAGGAACTGGTACAGGAGCAGCCAGCAGGAAACACAAGTGGATGAGCCGTGGAGCTCACAACCTCCTGCCGCTTGCTTCCGGGCACAGCAGCATCACACCATGGCACCACCACAAGCAACAAGAAATCACTTGGCAGAGTTCTAAAATGTGCAAATCAAATCAAGCAGAGAGGCAGAGAAAGGCCTGAATGGGAAGATCAAAGGCTGTCGCAACAACGGTAACAACCTAGCAAGCAACTGAGATGGGTTTCACAGCTTAAAAGTCTTCACAAGCCTGCACGGGTGGAGGCTGGGATCCTAGCTACTCAGGAGTCTAAGAGCTAGGTTTTAAGCCAGCCTGGGCAGAAAAGTCCCTGTGAGATTCTGATCTCCAATTAACCACTCAAAAATCTCAAGTGGAACTGTGCCTCAAAGTGTTAGAGCACTAGCCTTGAGCATAAGAGCAGCTTAGGGACAGCGCCCAGGCCTGAGTTCAAGCCTCACAACTGTTGACTCAAAAAAGAAAAAAGTGTTCACAAGCACTTTCACAACAGGGTGAGAAAACCCACCGGACCACTCCCCTCCCCCGTCACTGCCCACTACAGTACCTTGTGCTACCCACAGTTTGCACACATGACTAACCCCAAACAGGGTTCCTAGAGAGTGACTTTCTTTAATGCACTTCTGAGATGAGACATGAGCTGCATGACAAAGCTACTTCAGGAGCTTTGCCACATTCAGACTGGGCACGACGATCTCTTTGAAGATGGGCACATAGCTGGGGCTTGCCTGCGCGGGGCCTTGCTCCAGTGTCTCCATGATCGTCTGCTTCATGTCCCGGCTGGCGTCTCCCCGCACAGCCAGCAGTGCGCCAATGTGATCATCTCTGCAGGAGAACAACGTCAGCCGAGCCCTGCTCCACGGGCCCATCACCCCACACCCGTGTCACCGCCACACCCACGGGGCCAGGTGCTGAGAACTGCAAAGGGCACTGCTTCCTCCTCAGAGAAGCCCAAGGCTTCATCTTTCTGAGGCTTCTTTTTCTACCCTTAAGAACAAAAGACTTCTCTCTCTGCTCTTTTCTAGCTCTTTTCTCTCTTTTCCCCAGCTTTCTCTCTTTCCCAGCTCTCTTCTCTTTTCTAGCTGTTTTCTCTCTCTTTCCCACCTCTCTCTTTTTCCCAGCTCTCTTTCCCAGCTCTCTCCCAGCAGGTCTACTGAATAAACCTACCCCTTATCTGAAAAAAAAAAAAAAAGAACAAAAGACTTTCTAAATACCAGTCTTAAAACTTTTTAGAATGGTGAAAAAAGATCACGTGCTTAGGGGCAGGGACTATCAGAAAGCAGAGAGCCTGCCCGACGCCATCCCAGGACTACCAAAAAAATAAATACATCAAGGAGAATCCCTTATGGATTCAAGGATTACCCTGGAGGACACAGGATCACAGCTCTTTTCCTATCATCAGGGTGGAAGCCCAGCACACTCGGCCCATGGAGAAGCATGCCCCTCAGGGCTCAGAGGCTGGGCCTGTGCTCAGGGGTCAGAAGTCTGGGAGCACCTGAGACTGCACAGGTGGATGTCCTGACCACACATGGCCATGAGTTCCCTTACACACACACACACACACACACACACACACACACACACACACACACACGGACGTCCTGACCACACACGGCAGTGAGTTCCCTTCCTTTCGTCTGCACAAGCATCACAGGCTGGAACTCCTTAGGGTCATCTGTACTCCCATCCATCAACGCAGACGCACCCCACTACCCCATCTTGCTTAAAACCAGCTTCACTGTGCACCTAGAGCAGGCCCTCAACCTATACTCACTCAGACACAGGCTTGGCAACGAGGCAAGTGCACAGGCCTAGCCGAACCTAACCTGCTGCATACAGCTATTCTTCCAAATGGGGCAGCAATGACTCATTGCTACACCAGCTCCAGTGGGAAGATGTTTGGCCATTACCTGATATCCGGGTATTTGCTGACCAGAGTTGAGACTTCTAGGTACAGCAGAGATGGGTCTGTGAGCTTAATAACTTCTGCAACGGCAACAATCGTGTCGCAGTGTCCATCCACATCTTCACCAAATCCCTGGAAAACAGTGGCAGGGCAAGGGCAGCTCTTGACTGTCACTCGAGTAGGAGGCCCACTTGATCCTAACACAGTCAAATCCCTTATCTGGCCAGGCACCCCATGAACACTTCAAGATTCATTCTCAAGGGGGGGGGGGGGGGTGGAGGGCGGGCTGCACGGAGACAATCTCTTGCAGGGATTTGGCCATTGGCCAGGGAAAGACATGGTAAGAAGCATCTAGTCATATCCAGAACTGGGAATCAGAATGTTGGGTGGTAACCAGCACCTTACAGAACAGACAAGGGCCGAGGAGTGGAGGGAAATCACCCTAAAAGCACGTCCAGGAGCTGCAGCCACACGTTAGCCTTATAGAAATTCAAACATCCCTCCAGACAGCATTGGCCCTACTCTGGTCGTGACGTGACTGGTGTCCACGCATGGCCTAAATGCCACGACAGCTACCAAATCTAAGCCGTGGGACACAGCGGCCCAGGCTCTGGGCCACACTGCTACTCACAGACGCCAGCTTTTGAAACAGGAAGCGGAGCTGCTCCGCCTCCCTGACCATCTTCTCGGCCCCTTCCTTGCGCTCCTCCGCGCTCCGGAATGAGATGCGCTTCTGCATGATGGCCCGCAGGTACTCCACCACCACACGCCGGTGGGCCTCGGCCATCATCCTCTGTGGAGAGACGCAGGGCGCTCAGTCGCAGAGCCTCCAGCAGGCTGGGAGGCCCTCATCAAGCCTGGGTCAACCCAGAGCACATGCTTTCTTAATTCTATTGGCACTGTTGACAGGATTTTAAAGTAACTGTGTTACACCGGGATGTCACTATGAACTACGGTAAATAGGATTCACCGCACAAGAGCAGGCAGGAGGGTGAGCACACACAGCCTGTGGGGCCCACATTTGTGCTGAGCTTTTCTAAAAGGCAGATAGGATTCAGAGCCCAGAGAAAACCTGCTTCCTACATGAGCTGGTGCCAGTCATCCAAAGGATGGAAGTCATCTAGGAGGGGTGTTCTGGTAGGAAGAGGCAAGGCCAGCCTAGCACCAACTTGATGTGAGCTCTTCCCAGGGCCCCCGCCAACTCCACTGGAGGCCTGAAGATTCCTCTCCGTCAATCCTCATCAGAAGAAAAACTTAGTACTCAGAGGCAAGTTTATAGCTCTGAGCTCCTACATCAACAAATTGGAGAGATCTGAAACTAACAATTTAATGACACATCTAAACCTCCTTGAAAAAGAGCAGCAAGATAAACCCCAATCCAGTAGACGGAAAGAAATAATCAAAATTAAATCAGAATTAAATGAATTAGAATCCAAAAAAACTATAGAAAGAATCAACAAAACAAAGAGTTGGTTCTTCGAAAAACTTAACAAAATTGACAGACCCTTAGCAAATCTTATCAGAAAAAGAAGAGAACACACCCAAATTAATAAACTCAGAGATGAGAATGGAAACATCACCACGGAAACAACCAAGATTCAGAACATTATAAGGGAATACTTCTCAAAACTTTATGCTAGTAAGTTTGAGAACTTGACAGAAATGGACCTCTTCCTAGCAAATATTGACATGCCAAAACTAAACCAAGATAAGTTAAACTATCTTAACAGGCCCATATCAAGCATTGAAATAGAAACAGCAATAAGAGACCTCCCAGCTAAGAAAAGTCCAGGACCAGATGGTTTTACAGCGGAATTTTACAAGGCCTTCAAAGCAGAGCTCACACCAATTCTCCTCCAACTCTTCAATGAAATTGAAAGAGAAAGCTCACTACCAAACACATTCTATGAAGCCATCATAACCCTCATCCCAAAACCAGGCAGGGACACATCAAAGAAAGAGAACTATAGACCCATTTCTTTGATGAACATTGATGCAAAACTTCTCAACAAAATTTTGGCCAACCGACTTCAACAATTCATCCAAAAAATCATACACCACGATCAAACAGGATTCATTTCAGGGATGCAAAGCTGGTTCAATATACGCAAATCAATTAATATTATTCATCACATCAACAGGAGCAAGAATAAGAACCACATGGTTATCTCAATAGACGCAGAAAAAGCATTCGACAAGATCCAACACCCCTTTATGATGAAGGTTTTGGAAAAATTAGGAATCCATGGAACATTCCTCAATACAATAAAGGCTGTATATGACAAACCTACAGCCAGGATTATACTCAATGGTGAAAAACTAAAGCCATTTCCTCTTAACTCAGGAACAAGACAAGGATGCCCACTCTCTCCACTTCTCTTCAATCTAGTATTAGAATGCCTAGCTACAGCAATAAGACAAGATGCAGACATAAAGGGGATCCAAATAGGGAAAGAAGAAATAAAACTCTCCCTCTTTGCAGATGACATGATCTTGTATTTAAAGAATCCCATAGACTCCACTCCCAAATTACTCAAGCTGATTCAAAACTTTGGCAAAGTAGCAGGTTATAAAATTAACCCCCCAAAATCAATGGCTTTTCTGTATGCCAACAATGAGAAAAGTGTGGCTGAAATTAGGAAAGCAACTCCATTTGTAATAGCCCCACAAAAAATAAAATACCTAGGAATTAACTTAACTAAAGAAGTGAAGGACCTCTATGATGAAAACTTTAAAATCTTGAAAAAGGAAATCAACGCAGAACTTAAAAAATGGCAAAACCTCCCATGCTCCTGGATTGGAAAGATTAACATCGTGAAAATGGCAATACTTCCCAAGGCTATCTACAAATTCAACGCAATACCTATCAAAATTCCACCCTCATTCTTCAAGGAAATAGAAGAGGCAATCCAAAAATTCATATGGAACAATAAAAGACCCCGAATAGCAAAAACGCTCCTCAACGGAAAGAACACTGCTGGAGGAATATCAATACCAAATTTCAAACTCTACTATAAAGCCATAGTAATCAAAACAGCTTGGTATTGGCATAAGAACAGACCTCAGGACCAACGGAATAGAATTGAAAACCCAGAAATGAACCCACAGACCTATAGCCATCTAATCTTCGATAAGGGAGCTAAAACAATAGAATGGAAGACAGACAGCCTCTTCAGTAAATGGTGCTGGCAAAACTGGTTAACTACATGTAGAAAACTAAAGCTAGATCCTTATATATCACCCTGCACCAGAATCAACTCCAAATGGATCAAAGACCTTGAACTCAAAGCAGACACTCTGAAAACATTACAGGATGGAATAGGAGAAACCCTGGGCCTCCTTGGCTCAGGCCGAAATTTTCTGAATAGAGACCCGGAAACACAACAAATCAAAGAAAGGTTGGACAAATGGGATTGTATAAGGTTGCAGAGCTTCTGCAGGGCAAATGACATAGCTAGCAAGATCAATAGAAAGCCCACGGACTGGGAGAAGATCTTTACTAGCCATACAACGGACAAGGGTCTCATATCTAAAATATACTTGGAACTCAAAAAATTAAACCACCCAACAACAAATCCTCAAAGAAACAACTGCCCAATAAGTAAGTGGGGGAAAGACTTAAAGAGAAGCTTCTCTGAAGAAGAAAGAAGGATGGCCAATAGACACATGAAGAAATGCTCAACCTCCCTAGCCATAAAAGAAATGCAAATCAAAACAACATTGAGATATCACCTCACTCCAGTTAGAACAGCAAAAATCAAGAACTCTAACAACAACAGATGCTGGAGGGGATGTGGACAGAAAGGAACCTTACTTCATTGTTGGTGGGAATGTAAACTTGTTCAACCACTTTGGAAAGCAGTATGGAGGTTCCTCAAAAGACTTCACATAGAACTCCCCTATGACCCAGCAATCCCACTTTTGGGCATTTACCCAAATGTTTACAAACAAGACCACACTAAAGCTACCAGCACAACTATGTTTATTGCAGCATTATTTACCATAGCTAAGATATGGAACCAACCCAGATGCCCCTCAGTAGATGAATGGATCAAGAAAATGTGGTATATATACACAATGGAATTCTATGCCTCCATCAGAAAGAATGACATTTCCCCATTTGTTAGGAAATGGAAAGGCTTGGAAAAAATTATATTAAGTGAAGTAAGCCAGGCCCAAAGAAACATAGGTCCCATGGTTTCCCTTATTTGTAATATCTAGTATAGGTATGAGTCAAGCGGAAAAAGTCAGATAATGTGATGTTAGGAAAACGAACCCTCAAATATGTATTTTAATGTTTTTGTTTCTTTCATGCATGTGTTTCTAACGCATTTATAAGATTATTTCTTTGTTGCTTTGTATGTCCCTCCCCCACAGTGTAACCCCTGCTTTCACTATATTTGATGTCAGTATAACATGTGGAGGAGACGGGGACAAACAAGTCGTTTAAGGATTCAGGTGGACCTGTTGCAACAATGAGAAGTACAAAATGTCATGTCAAAACCAGCTTTACAATGTCGGGGGGGGGGGGGGGGGTATGATTGGGTGGGGGGGAGGGGGGAGGCTGGGAAAGGAGGTGAAGGGTAAACAAAGGAGGAGGCTGCAATGCTTGGTAAGAAATGTATGCATTATCCTGCCCATGTAATTGTAACCCCTCTGTACAGTATGTTCTCAAATAAAATAAAATAAAATTAAAAAAAAAAGAAAAAAAAAAAAGGAAAACTTAAGCCAGGTGAACTCCAGCCTTAGATCTCTGTGAAGCCCATAGCCAAGCCTCCTCTAGAGATGGTCTCAGGCCAGTGAAAAGAGGAATTGTGGATCCAAATATCTGGATAAGACTCAAGAAGGATCCAAATGAGAAGGAAAACCCCAAATGAGAAGGGTATTAACAGGGCAAGGGAAAGAACTGGAAGCCAATATGGGCGGATGGAGTGAATGTCATCTTTTCAAGCATGGCTGGCAGTGGTACTAGGCTCTGTGCGCAGGCAGCTCCAGTCTGCTCTCCAGGAGTGAGTTAAATACCCTCATGAGCTAATCTACCCTTATGCAAAAAGAGACTCCACCTCCCCCCCCCCCCCCCCCCCCCCGCCCACCGTACACCACTAGGCACAGCCAGGCTGTCAGGCTGGCAAAGGCACAAAGCTCCAAGAGGACCAAGGAGGTCAGCCCTGTGGGCCAAATTGTGCTGTGTACAACACACAGAAACTGCTACCTGTGTGTGCAACAGCTGACCAGAACAATCAACTACCATTTCTTTTTTTTTCTTTTTGCTGGTCATGGGGTCTGAATTCTGGGCCTGGATGCTGTCCCCCAGCTCTTCACCTCAAGGCAAGTGCTCTACGATTTGAGCCACAGCAACACTTCCGGCTTTTCCTGCTTATGTGGTGCTGAGGAATCGAACCCAGGGCCTCATGCATGCAAGGCAAGCGCTCTACCACTGAGCCACCTTCCCAGCCCACAACTACAGTTTCTAGAAATAAAAATATAACTGCACACAAGTGACTCATCCCCAGTACACAGCGTGGTGGAGCCCTCCCCAGAAGCCATCAGTCCAGAGGTGACAACCACACCACACCGTGCCAGGCCTCAGGTACCCAAGGACTGGCATCATGAGGTCCCTGGACCTTGAGAATACACGTCTGAACCAACCAACAGTCCTGTTAAGCCGTCTCAGGTTCCTGCTCTGGTGAGGACCAGTGCTACAACAGCCAGGGCTGTCCTTGTGCCAGTTGTAAATACATCCTGGCCACCCTGAAAACTGACCAGAGATAGGGTTTTAAGGCCCCCACAGACCTCCCACAGAAACCTCTCAGCTGTGAAAGGCCAGTAGGCCTTCCCAGTAGGCATCACCTTTAAAGGCAGAGAGACAGATTTTCTTAAAATAAGGAGCTAGATGGGAAGACCAGACATGGAGAAAGCACACACATCACAATTTGCAAGTACAACCACCATCCAGACCAGCCTCCAAAGGACTGCCAGAACACGGCACCATCCATCAAACTACTGTCTATCAACCAGAAACAAGCAGTCCTAAAAAGCAATGATGTCAGCAGCAGTGGAGACAAGGGAAATCTGGACAAGGAACTTGCAAAGGCTTGCAAATGGAGACCCACAAAGCCGGTGGGGGGGACCTGACTCTCATCTCTCACTGAGCTCCAGACAGCCTCCAAGACCCAATCAGGCCACCCCTGGCCTCTTCTGGGAAAAGTAAGGTAGCAGCCACTATCGGTGAATACTCATCTTCACTCAAGCCTACCACCTGACCTCCTTTTGACCACCTGCCTCCCCTGGCAGTTGCCGGGTGCCAGTGGCTCACGCCTGCAATCCTAGCTACTCAGGAGTCTAAGATCCGAAGATTGCGGTTTGAAGCCAACCCAGGCAAAAGAGTTCCCACGACTCTTACCTCCATCCACTCAAAAACCGGAAGTGGTGCCGTGGCTCAAATGGTAACATGCTAGCCTTGAGCACAAAGAGGCTCAGGGACAGTGCCCAGGGCTTGAATTCAAGCCCTACCACTACCACCACCAACAAAATAATATATAAATAAAATAAACCAGAAAGGAGATAGTTTAGCCCACATGCTCACCTTTTTATATGGCTTTTTGATTTTAGCGAAATCATTGAAGTAGTCCTCCACAGTGACACAGATGATGTCCACAGCATTTGACCCGAGTAGCCACTTCTTTGTCATCAGCTCATTTAGATGTTGCTGAAAAGCACAAGATCATGGAAACTGCCACCTTATACAACGTGCAGAAATCACAACCTCCTGGGGGGGAGAGTGGCTTTTGATCTGACTCTGATTGTAACAATTCTACTACAAGAGAGCTCAACTGCCTTATACAACCCTTGTGAGGAGCGTCACAAATGATGACGCAAATCTTTACCTTTGATAGCTATACATATGTGTTATACGACTATTCCATAATTTATTTACCCAATTCTGAGCACTGGGACATTTAAATATTTTTCACAGTTTACAATTATAAATAGCAGTGCAATAAAAATATTTTTTTTTCATATGAGATTTCTTAAAAGTGGAATCCCTCACTCACCAAGTATGTAAATGAAAACTCCAGTAAGTACTTCCTGACTAGATAGTTAGCTCTAAATAGAATACAAGCAATGAGAAGACAGATTCTCCACAAGCAACTTCTGATGCTCAGGGTTATGTGTACACAATGTAGCCATCATCAGGCTGCGGCTGTGGGTTCCAAGCAGACAAAGTTCTGGGTTCAATCTCCAGCACCACAGAAACAAACCTCAGAACCAGATCAAGCAAGTCTGCTAAGTAAAAAGTAACACCAGTGTGTGAGCACTGGTGGCTCAATGCCTGTAATTCCAGCTATTGAAGGGGTTGAGATCTGAAAATCGAAGTATGAAGCCAGCCCAGGCAGAAAAGTCTATCAGACTCTTACCTCCAGTAACAACCAAAAAGCCAGAAGAGGAACTATGTCTCAATTGGTAGAATGAAAAAGCTAAGGGACAGCACTCAGGCCCTGAATGCAGCCAGGCACACACACACAAAAAGGTAACAGCAGGTTGGGCACCAGTGGCTCACGCCTGTAACCCTAGCTATTCAGGAGGCTGAGATCTGAGGATCGTGGTTCAAAGCCAGACCAGGCAGGAAAGTTTATGAGACTCTTATCTCCAATAAACCACTCAGAAAACCAGAAGTGGCTCTGTGGCTCAAGTGGTAGAGCACTCTTTTGAGCTGAAGAGCTGAGAGACAGCGCCCAGGCCCCAGAGTTCAAGCCCCATGACCGACAAAAAAGAAAAAGCATTAATAGGTGCTTCTCTGGTGACCAGTGGACTGGGCACTCTGCTTCATGGTCAGACACTGATCTTTCTTTTCCCAAGTGGAGGTCATTCGTGCCTTTGTTTAATTTTTTATACTATTTTTTGATAACTGCAAGCAACCCCTTCTCGTAACCATTTTGGAGAGAGGTTCAGGCATGATGCTTCTGTGGCATGGACAGCCCCACCTTTCCACTCTTAACAAGCAAGCACAGCCTTCACTTCCAAAGTGTTTCCTTTTGAACAAGCCCATGAGATGACCATGGCTTTACTTTTTTTTTTTTTTTTTAAACATATGGTGGCTTCGGCCAATGCATCTAGACAGTGCCAACCCATCTCCAAATCCTGAAGCGGAACTCTATTCTGGAGTATGTATGCCTTTGGTATGAGTAAAGCTCATTTCGTTCATGATTTCTGCATGTGTGAAGGGTTGTCTTTATCCTCTGTGGGCACTGTGATGGGTTCATGCTCCCCACCACACAGATGAGTGCCTAACATGGCCTTGGAGCCTCTCCCAGGCTCTATGTCATGCAAAATAGGCAGAGGCCCTCTGGCCCTGGCTTAACAGACCTGAGGACACAGCTCAGCACAGGTCAACCCGAGGCAGGGGACAGGGCACTCTAACGGGCAGGCTGAGAGGCTCAGGCTCAGCTCCCCAGTGCACAGCTCCAGGGCTCTAAAGGGAGCCGGGCCCACCTCCAAGTCCAGAAAGACCTCCTCCAGCAGGCTGCTGCAGCCCTCCTTGGCGATGGCATCCAGAAGCCCATCCATGCTTGGCTGGCTCAGACAAACACCCTCCTCGGCTTCATTTTTTAAGTACTTTCTTTTCAAACTGATGATAGATTCTCTGCAAAAGAACAGCTCAGGGTCAGGGGGCAGCTGCCTGCTGTCTGCACTCCGTGACCCCACACACTCACTTGAAGGTCTGACAGTTGTTGATGATGGCGACCATGTATTGCACGTAGCAGTGTGGCTGCTGCCGGTTCCTCAGGTGCTCTTCTTTGTACAGCTGGGCCTCATCTTTGTATCTGCAACCACATCAGCAGCATTAGCAAAGGGAGCTACACAGCGGCCTCCAGCACCAGGCTGACCACCTGCCCAGCAGCCCGTCCCACCACCAGACTGGGGGGCTTCAGCCATAAACCCCGACATGGTCCACAGGAGTGGGGGAACAGGAAGTTGTCTTAAATGGGTGTTAAAAATAATTTTGTATGAGACTTTGAACTATGGTTCAGTAGTGGGCCATAAAGATGTTGAAGTGTGGCTATAAGATCCAGGAAAAGCCGGGTGCCTGTGGCTCACGCCTGTAATACTAGTGGTTCAAAGCCAGCCCCGGAAGGAAAGTTTGTGAGACTCTTATCTCCAATTAACCACCAGAAAACCAGAAGTGGCACTGTGGCTCAAATGGTAGAGCACTAGCCTTGAGCTGAAGAGCTCACGGACAACACCTAGGCCCAGAGTTCAAGACCCACAACCGACCAAAAAAAAAAAAAAAGATCCAGGAAAAGTATTTTCTTTTTCTTTTTTTTTTTTTTTTGCCAGTCCTGGGGTTTGTACTCTAGGGGCTGGCTTCAAACCACAATCCTCAGATCTCAGCCTCCTGAGTAGCTAAGATTACAGGCATGAGCTACTGGTGCCCAGCTAAAATATTATCTTATTTCATGAACAATTCACCTCCAAACATAAATAGCAGTTTTAGAAATGTTATCCAAAGTTAGGTAAAATGTCCCTTTATCAACTTATTATGAAGAAATTAGGTAAAAAGTCATACTAGGGACTTGTCAGATAAAGTTACACATCACACAAGAACTGCCTCACAGAAAGGGGCTCAGCGAGAGCCCAGGCGTGATCACCCATGGTGGGTAGAGGGCCCTGGGCCAGGACCCTGAGTCTGGACCGAGGGGACTCAGGCTGTGACTCTGGAGACAGGCAACAGATGAGGTTCTAAGGGGAGAGAAGGGCAGGGCTGGCACCTGTACCACCGCTGGCTGAAAGGACACAACATGTCTAGCTGGCTGCATCACGTCAATAAATAAAGCCTTTGGAGCAGCTCCTGGTCTGAGGGAAGATGGTGGTGTGAAGACAATGGACCTCGGATGCCACTAGATGGTGATGTGCGCATCCATGCACAGGCTGACTGGCCTGAGGGGGAGGGATGATAGGGCTGTGGCCCTAGAGACCTGAGAACCAGACCTGCTGGGACCACATGGCCGAGACACTGGGAGCAGGCCCAGCACGCATTATAGTTACAGACACAGGGCGCCACTGGCCTCTACACAAGGAGGAAACCAAGAGACAGAAGAGGACAAGGCTGGGGAAGAGAGGTGGAGAGGTAGCGTAGCAGGGATGCTTTCTAGGTAAGGACTGTGGAAGAGCACAGACGATGTTCAGACTATTCTTTGCCATCATGAACACTTCAGAGGAAGGGGCTTGCTAGCATGTTTGCCCAGGGTCCCCTCACCACACAGTTACTTGGGGTGCTGGTCCCCTGCCCTAGAGAGTGCAGTGAAAACAACTCTCCAGAGCTCCTGTCCTAACACCAACACTGTCCATCCCATTGGCTGCACTGCCAAGGGCCTCCCAGCATGTAAGGAACTCAAAAGCAACACCTAAAACCCACCCTACCTGTTTGCATCTGTAAATAATAAGGTGGCCAGGCACCGGTGGCTCATGCCTATAACCCTCAGGAGACAGATCTGAGGATCATAGTTCAAAGCTAGTCTGGTTAGTAAAGTCCGTGCCAATCAACTGCACACACACACACACACACACACACAGAGAAGTGGAGTTGTAGTTCAATGAGCAAGAAAGCTCAGGGACCGTATATGCACATGTGTGCATGTGTGTGCGTGCACACACACAGACACATACACAAGTAATAATAATAATAATAGAAGGCGACTTATGAGGATAATCTAGGCTTAAGTTATCTTTTAACATGTTAGGATCAACATCTTTTTGTTTTCTTTTTTGAGACTTGGTCTCTTTATGCAATATAAGCTGGTCTCAAACTCACAATCCATCTACTTCAGTGCTGGCTTACAGGCATATACCACCATGCTCAGCTAGTAGATACAATTTTTTTGCTCTTAATTTTTAAAAACATAATTTCAAATTTAGTGCACTGGCAAAATACATACCTACTTAGGAAAGAATTCATTTGCTGAAGACACAAAACCAGTACCTTTGTCTTCAAATCTTCACTTATCTGAGCAGCAACTTGAAGATTCTGTTCAAACATCTAAAAATTGGAGAACTTAAGAATTCTGACACAATCTCCCCAATAGCAGAATCCCACCTGGAAGTTGTGACAGTCCAAATTCAAAGGGGAGAAAAAAGGGACCACTGAAAAGTAAAGTCCAATGCTGGTGGTGCCTGTCGTCTGGGTGGGGACCTTAGCCCCAGGCCCACGCTACAAAGCAGCTCTTGCTCACCCACTCTCAAGGGTCGCAGGGTGTAGGCTTGTGACCATCAAGCGGGGATGGGATGGGGCTGGGGGGCTGGGGTCTGAGAGAAGGTGAGGATGCTCCCCATCACGAAGGCCTGCCCACCAGCACTCAACTCCTGCCTCCTCGAGGTCCAACACCCACAACTGCTCTGCCCCTCAGTGATGACACACAGAGCAAGAAAGGAGAACAAAGACGCAAGGGGGGCGGTAGGACACCAAGCTGTAAGTTAATGATAAAAATGCACATGGTCCAACACTAGTACAATGACTAATGAACAAGAAAATACTTTTAAAATGATACAAGACTCCCTCAAGGGCACCAAATAAAACTGAGCTACTTAGCATTCCACTAACAAACCTTGGCCATTTACTGCTATTGGAGAGTTGGAATGAGATGCCACATATGACCAGCATTTAATTAGCTCCCAGTTCAGACCCAGAAGGTATGTCTAAGAAATCTAAAGTGACACTGGGTAACAGCTGATAAACAGGATCCCGAGTCTCACTGCTCCAGAAAGAAAAAGGTGGAGGGAGGGGGAGAGAGACCTCTTGACACCTTACTGAATTATTTAACTGAAAATCAAGGAATTCTGTCTGTAAACCTGATGGATCCTACTAGCCACCCAGGAGACAGGATGGAGGGACTCTCACCTGGAACACGATGGCAGGGAGTGTTGTCTGGTAGTAGCCGTCCTGGTCAGCTTCTGGCTCTGTCTCTTTGCTCCAGTCTTTCTTGTCTGTTTCTAGTGCTTTCCGCAGCCAGGCAATGATGTTGGACTGGAGGTTTGGCATCATGGAGAAGGAAGGGAAGAACAGGCTCTGAGTGTGCCTAACATTCTCACTACAGAGGGAGTAGCTGAATACAGCAGACGTGGTACCTGTCTCTCAGCAATCTCGGCTCCCAAGAAAGAGCCCAGGGAGCGGACAGCTCAGGAGCAACCGGGCACTAGGCATTCTCCCTGCATGTGGGCAAGGCCTCACTGCAGATAAAGAGGAGAATGAAGCAGAAGACCCAGTGGGCAAACACTGTCACCAAGGGTGAGGCCATCTGTCCAGGACCAGGCCATCAGAGACACGCAGCCAGGTCAGCTCAGGCACCAATGGGAGACAGTCTTCTAGCTCCTAGTGATCCTGAGCTCTGGGTTCAAATGCTACCTTAACACTCAGGGATAGCCTGAACCCTGATCTTAATGAGACCGCCTGGTCATTCTGCAGTCAGACTGGTCCCTTGCTCCTCTGATTGCCACCCCACACCAAGATGAAGAATCTTGACGGGTAACACCATGTGTGCCCTGGATACCGAGTTCTCATCAGCCAGATGGCAGTACCAGCTGATGCCCTCGAGCACAACAGATTCTCATATCTGCAAAGTGGACACCCTCCTCCAATTAACACCGGGTGTGCCGAGACTAGAAGCAGAGCTGTCCACAGCTGCCCCACTACCTTACAGCCCCACGGCAGTCCCTGGGTCTGCAGCATAGCTCTACTCACAGTAAGAGTTGACATGTACGTGTCCAGCAGCTCAGAAACCACCTTCGGAGAGAGCAGAGGCTCCAGGGCACTGACATCCACTTCTGGGGCCAATTCCACATTCCCCATCATCTCTGCACTACCGTAAAAACCGGGTGTGAGTGACAAGCCAGAGGAACATGGAAATACTCTCGGGTGAGTCTACGGTTCAATCCGACATGCAAACACGCTGCCCCAGAGAGCTAACACTGTAGCGGTCCCTCTGTGATACCACCTCTCTTTAAATGGCCGTGGTCACTTAGATCACCTCAACTTGACCTCATACTACTATACCCGCTAGACAAGGCAGGGCTCAACTGCAGGACAGAAACCACAAAGGTGAGACCGATTTCTTCAACTTACTGCATTTTCACAAACGAGACCAAAGCCTAGCCAACAGGAGGTACTGAATGGTCATGTTTCACTTAGTAAGTAAAAACAGGAGGCACTGCTGCAAACATTACTGGTCTTTGTGGAATGGGCACAGCCTAGGGCATGAATACATAGCATTACTGATGAAAAACTCATCTTCAAAGAAAGCAAAGGGATATGCATCTCCTGCACAGAAGGAAAGGCCTTCTTGGTTCCAGGGAAAACATTCTCGTGAGGAACACTTAATATTGATATATGTAGTTCTTAAAAGTCTGGGGATTAATCACTCAGAACACTGACATGCCTTAATGCTACATTCCTCTGTACTACTGCCCTCATCTGTCCCACAGATGTGATCTAACTGTATCCTGCCGCATGGGGCTGCTCACATAGGATGCAATGGGGTCAAGGCTTCCCAAGGTCAGGCTGCAGGACAGGATGCTGTGAGGAGAGAGCAGGTCCACATAGCAAAGGGCTGCACATAGATAGCAGAGCTGAGAAACCACCATCTTCATCCATGCCTGGCATCTCATCTCTCTTCACACCTTTCTGCACTGACGTGAGGAGGAACACATACAAGGAGCACAGAAAACAGCCCACCATAGTGCACCATGGGTGCTCCACGCAGAGAGCAGAGACCCCACCCAAACATGGCTACAACCACAACAGAGAAAATGGACTAATCAATCTCCAGCTGGACAGGTGGACAGCCAGAAAGACCTTCACAACTCGGGAAACAAAGCCATGAGTACCATGCAAAACAATGCAGGAGATTGACTGGGAACTCTCTGCCAGCATGCTTTTTCATTAAGATGTGAAGGAGGCTATACCTGGTGTATGTGTTCAAGACCCAGGTCAAGAGGCTCACGATCTCATTGGCCTCCAGGTCTTCGGATGCAAGGTCCTGCATGCGTGTGCTCAGGGCCTGGTGATACATGTTCAGGAGGTTCTTGAAGATCTCATAATGGGGAGGAAAGCACTGCACCATCATGTTCTTGGCGACAATAAGGTCATCAAGGACGTACTTCCTGATGATCTCCAGGTGGCGCACAAGCCACATCTTGTCAGACTCCCTGGTGTCTGCTTGTGTGCCCTCAATTCTAGTTGTCACAGTTCTCTCCAAGATGGAAAACATTTTCTCCTTCCAGTTTTTGGGCCTCCCAGGAGGAACAAATCCAGTTTGCTTTTTTCGGTCAAGAATTCTCCTGTCGATTTTCTCCTCCCGTTCAATGATCCTGACCACAGAGACCAGTAAGGTGGGGTCGCGACGGACGGTGACCAGTGACCTCTGCAGCACCATCCACAGCTGCTTGGCCAGCTCATCCGAGAGCCCCTGTGTGCTGCCGAAGTAGCCGTGGATGAGGGTCATGTCCCTTGTGTTCCCGCTGTCCATGCGGTACTGCTCACACATCAGGCCGTCCCGGGAACACTCCAGGTCCATCAGTTTCCGGTGAGCCTGCAAGAGGGCCCCTTGCTCAATCAGGTCCTGAGTCTCTCTCACAATTTCGGGCACTGGAAAAGGCACAAAACGGCACTGTGAAAACATACAATGTTTGTCTATATAGCCTTATGATTTAGAAAAAATCTTATAATTGTCATTTGGGGGCCACTGGGGGGAAGGCAAACAATTTTTTAACTAGAGGCTTCATTTTGTATACACTTAAGACGTTTTAAAATGCTTTAGAAAGAATGTCATTCTCTACTTGTCAATCAACAGAAACTGCTCCTGGGAAGATGTGATGGTGGGTTTACTACAAAAATACTTTGAAACAACAGTTTAACTGAACTGAGGTATGGAGAAAGCAAACAATAATGAACAAAATGGAAAAGAACCAATAGAAAGCATAAAAAGAAACCAGAAAGAAACTCTGCACCTGAAGTGAAAAATTCACAAGATAGATTCAGAGTAAAAGTGAGAAGAACCAGCCAAAAGAAATGTTCAGACATGAGGAGTAGAAAGTACCAGACAACACTTACGGAAGCTAGTGGACCCACACCATGGGGCAGAGAAGCGAGAGCGCAGCCCAGACTTTCTTTTGAAAAAGTGAGAGACAGAAACTTCCCAGGTCTGATGTAAAATACGAATACGGCTCAATGACCCCCCTCCAGCAGAGCAGGGGTCCAAATCATGACACAGTGATCAAACTTGAAATACAGAGACAAAGAGCAGCAATAGCTGAAACTCAACACATAACTAGCAGACTTCTCCTCAGGAACTCTGGAGGCCAGAAGCTAACGTGTTCAACCTGCTAGAAGGAAACACTATCAACTAGGAATCTTACATCTCAAACACTATCATTCAAAAGTGAGAAATGAAGACATTCCCAGATAAACAAAAGCTGGGAAGGTTGGGCACCCCAGATGTGGAGGAAGCCCTGCAGGCGGAAATGAAAAGACACTAGTCAGTAACCCATAATGCTAACAAAACAGCAACCCAGAGTTACATGACGAAGTAAAAATCTCATCAAAGGTAAACACAAGGATAAAATCTAGTATAACTAACTTCACTTTTTAACCTAACCTTTTGTTTTTTATATGACCTAAAATACTAACACTGTAAAGTAAAAATTATTGGTTTATGTTTTTGGACACAACATATATAGAGATGTAACCAAAAGGAACCATTTAGGAAGAGTTTTTGTATGTTATTGCAGTAAAGCTGACACAAAGTCAAACTGAACTACTATAATATGAGGATGTTAAATGTAATCCTTATGGTAATCTCAAAGAAAATATCAACAGAATACACATAAAACAAGAAGGAAATTAAAACATTTCACTATGAAAAATTAAAAATACAAGACTATAATACAGGTAATAAGGGACAAAAGTATCATGTAACATACAGAAAACAAACAACAAAATGACAAATTATTATGTAATCCTAACAACCATTTTAAATGTAAGCAAATTAAACTCTCTAATTAAAAGGGATGGCAGAATGAATTTTAAAACACGTGATTCAACTATGTTTATCTACAAGAACTACACCTCAGAGTGAAAGACACAAACAGATGGAGGTACAGGGTAAAAAGATGTTCCACCAAGTGGAGGAAAACAGGAAAAGAAAACAGGCCAATACCAACACCAGGCAAAGTCAATACACTGAAGAGAGACAAAGCCGTTCTGTATTAATGGAAGGCACACCCAGAAATACAAAACAATTATGATGATAATAATGGACACTTCTGCATTTACTAACAAACCATCAAAATATATGAAGGACTGGGAGAGAGCAAGGGAAGGGACAGCACTGCAGGGTGCCGGTGGCTCCCGCCTGTCATCCTAGCTACTCAGAAGGCTGAGATCTGAGGATCAAGGTTCAAAGCCAGCCTAGGCAGGAAAGTCTGTGAGATTCTTATCTCCAGTTAACCACCAGAAAACTAGAAGTGGCAAAAAAGCCCAGGGACAGTGTCCAGACCCTTAGTTCAAGCCTCACCATTAAAAAAAAAAAAGTACTCTTTCCTGATGTATGTAACTGTAACCCCTTTGTACATCACCTTCACAATAACAATTAAAAATTTTAAAATATTGCTGGGCACCAGGGGGCTCATGCCTGTAATCCTAGCTACTCAGGAGACTGAGATCTGAGGATCAAGGTTCAAAGCCAGCCTGGTCAGGAATGTCAGTGAGACTCTTATCTCCAATTAATCACAGAAAAAGCTGGAAGTAGTGCTGTGACTCAAGTGGTAGAGTGTTAGCCTTGAGCAAAAGAACCCCAGGGACAACATCCAGGCCCAAGTCCGAGCCCCATGACCAGCAAAAAAAATTCCCAAAACCTAAAAAGGAAAAAAATAGCAAGGCTGGTGGTGTGGTTCAAATGATAGAGCAATAGCTGTGAGCAAGAAAGCTGGATAAGCAACAAAGGAATGGCACACACTCTTTCCAAGTGCAAAAGAACATTCTCCAGAAAGACCGTATTTAGGCCACAAATGGAGTATTTCAATAGATTTTTTTTTTTGGGTCCAGTCGTGGGGCCTGAACTCTGGGCCTGGGCGCTGTCCCTCAGTTCTTCGGCTCAAGGCTAGCGCTCTACCACTTGAGCCACAGTGCCAGGGCCTCAGGCATGCAAGGCAAGTGCTCTACCACTGAGCCACCTTCCAGCCCTCAATAGATTTTTAAAAGGTAGATCCACAAGTATCTTTTCCAAACAAAACAAATAATTAAAAATCAGTAACAGCTGTGCTGGTAGCTCACGCCTGTAATCCTAGCAACTCAAGAGGCTGAGATCTGAGGATTGCGGTTTGAAGCCAGTCTGGGCAGAAAAGTCTGTGAGACTCCAATCTCCAAAAAAACCATTCAGAAAAAGCCACAAGTGGAGCTGTGGCTCAAACGGTAGAGCATTAGCCTTGGCATGAAGAGACTCAGAGACAGCGCCCAGGCCCTGAGTTCAAGTCCCAGGACCAGCAATAAATAAATAAATAAAAATATCTGTAACAAAGGAAAGCTGAAAAATTCACAAGTTTGTGCAAATTAAGCAATACTCTTAACAGGGCAAAGAAGAGATATCATCGTAAGGGAAAATAAAAAAATACTTAGGGAAGAATGGAAATGAAAACTAAACCTACCAAAACATATGGGAGCAACAGGACCAAAGTTAAAAGAAAAGTGTCCATCTAGAAATACTTCAACTAAATGAAAAAAAAATCTCCAGGGCTGGGAAGGTGGCTCGTGGCAGAGCGCTTGCCTTGCATGCCTGAGGCTCTGGGTTCAATTCCTCAGCACCACATAAGCAAAAAGAAAAAAAGCCAGAAGTGGCGCTGTGGCTCAAGTGGTAGAGCGCTAGCCTTGAGCTGAAGAGCTGAGGGACAGTGCCCAGGCCCAGAGTTCAGGCCCCACGACCGGGCCCCGCCCCCCCCCCCCCCAAATCTCCAATCAGCAACTTAACTCTATAACTAAAGGAACTAAAAGAATGCTGAGTGCCGCTGGCTCACGCCTTTAAGCTAGCTACTCAGGAGGCTGAGATCTAAGGATCACAGCTCAAAGCCAGCCTGGGCAGGAAAGTCTATGAGACTCTTTTTTCTTTTATTTGTTGGTCACGGGGTCTGAACTCTGGGCCTGGGCGCTGTCCCTGAGCTCTTCAGCTCAAGGCTAGAGCTCTACCATTTGAGCCACAGTGCCACTTCTGGCTTTTTCTGCTTATGTGGTGCTAAGGAATCAATCCCAGGGCCTCAGGAATGCAAGGCAAGCACTCTACACTGAGACACCTTCCCAACCCCTCCGTGAGACCCTTATTCTCCAATTAACCACCAGAAAACTGGAAGTGGTGCTGTGGCTCAAGTGATAGAGCACTAGCCTTGAGCTGAAGGGCAGCACCCAGGCCCAGAGTTCAAGCCCCATGGCCAAAAAAAAAAAAAAAAGCTAAAAGAAGAAACTAAACCCAAAGCTAACAGGAAGGACATAATAAAAGGGTTTAGAGCAGAGAGAAACAAAGATTAAAAAAAAAACACACAAAAATAAAAACTCAATGATCCTTTGCCAAGATAAATGAAATTGACAGACCTTTAGCTTAGGTGGACTAAGAAAATAAGATTCTAATGAATAAAATCAGAAAGTAGGACATAACTATTGGCTCTTCAGAAATAAAAAGGACTGTAAGAAAGCATGGTAAAAGATGAAACACTACCCAACTGGGTAATCTAGATAAATACTTAGAAACACTTAGAAAATCTCAAAGACCCATGGCTAGTTAGAATCAGTAGCCAAAAATCTCCCTACAAAGAAAAACTCTGTATACCAAGTGAAGTCACTGGTGAATTAATCAAACATTTAGAGAACTAGCACCAAATTTGCTTAATACTTCTCCAAGAACTGCAGAGGACGGGGCTTTCTGACTGATCCTAGCAGGCAGCATACCAGGGGAGGACTGCCTGCGTCCAGGGCTGGGAAGCTGTCTGTACCCCACTGACTCTAAGAGGACCAGCCCTCTAGCCACCCCTCCCAGGTCTATTCCAGTCACCCACATCAAGACCCCTGGTCTGCCCCACCCCCAGTCCATCCGCTCCCTGACTGAGAACTGCCGCTCTTCTAAGCCACAGCCCTTTGGGTGTGCACTGCTGCTACTCCACTTCTGTCCAGAGGAAGACCCCCCCTCTAACAGCACTGGCTCTGCTGTCCACTCTGTGCTATCTTGGCACAGAACTACATTTTCTCCCCTGGCCCTCACTAGCTTGGCTGATCAATTCCACCCACATTCATTCAATCAGGGAAATAACAAGAGTGGGCAAGGAATCAAGCTATCCACCCACTGGAAGTCAGGCCTAAGCAGTATACTGAACATACGGGCCTGCCTCTTCACTGACCACACAGCTCCTCAAGTTTGCAGAGAAACAGCTGTGCACACGGGAAGGTACCTTTTGAGTACTCCAGCAAGACACCCAGCGCCTGACTTTGTTGTCTTCCTTTACCTGAGAAGATGTTCTTCAGGTTCTCCACAGCCGCAGCTAACTGGCTATGCTGAACCACCGCATCCTTCACATCCTTGAGACTCTCGATGGTGTTGATACTCTGCCTCCAATCCTTGCTGACGTTAGCCAGCGACTGCTGGATGTCCTTGACGTCGCTCAGTGCGCTGTGGAGCTGGCTCAGGCCTGTGCGCACCCCGTCCAGCTGTGACTGGATGGCAGCCTGAGGGAGATACCACACAGGTGAGTGGAGCCAGAGACAGCCCAAGTGCTGACTAAGGAGGGACAAGCTCAGAAAGAACTATTTGAGGAAGAAGAAAGGAACAGCATTTGGGGCTGGGAAGGTGGCTCAGTGGTAGAGCGCTTGCCTTGCATGTCTGAGGCCCTGGGTTCGATTCCTTAGCACCACATAAGCAAAAAGAAAAAAGCCACAAGTGGTGCTGTGGCTCAAGTGGTAGAGTGCTAGCCTTGAGTTGAAGAGCTGAGGGACAGCGCCCAGGCCCACGGTTCAGGCCCCACGACTGGACCCAAAAAAAAAAAAAAAGAAAGGAAATAGCATTTAACCTTCATGGTGACTTTCTCTTTTTCACTGCAGCCTGGGACAGACAATGATCCATTTTAAAGCTTTGGCGAGAAAACGACCCTTGTCATCCTGCTTGACTGCTGGATGACATCGAATGCCACTGGGGACATGGGAAGAGACCGGCAGCCACACTGCCCACACTGCTGCGAGGGCTCAGGTTCCTAGTAGACCTTATTGGTAAAGAAACCCATCAGCAATTCCATCAGCTCAGGAGTGGGATTCCTGTTGCTCGACCAGCTCAGATGTGACTACAGCACGCCGGCTGCACTGTATCGCCCAGACAAACAGACACACCAGCCCTACACTTACTACCCAGACCCTCCACAGACAGACAGACACACCAGCCCTACACTTACTACCCAGACCCTCCACAGACAGACAGACACACCAGCCCTACACTTACTACCCAGACCCTCCACAGACAGACAGACACACCAGCCCTACACTTACTACCCAGACCCTCCACAGACAGACAGACACACCAGCCCTACACTTACTGCCCAGACCCTCCACAGGCAAACAGAAACACCAGCCCTACACTTACTACCCAGACCCTCCACAGACAGACACAAACACCAGCCCTACACTTACTACCCAGACCCTCCACAGACAGACAGACACACCAGCCCTACACTTACTACCCAGACCCTCCACAGACAGACACAAACACCAGCCCTACACTTACTACCCAGACCCTCCACAGACAGACACAAACACCAGCCCTACACTTACTACCCAGACCCTCCACAGACAGACACAAACACCAGCCCTACACTTACTACCCAGACCCTGCACAGACAGACACAAACACCAGCCCTACACTTACGACCCGGACCCTGCACAGACAGACACAAACACCAGCCCTACACTTACGACCCGGACCCTGCACAGACAGACACAAACACCAGCCCTACACTTACTACCCGGACCCTGCACAGACAGACACAAACACCAGCCCTACACTTACTACCCGGACCCTGCACAGACAGACACAAACACCAGCCCTACACTTACTACCCGGACCCTGCACAGACAGACACAAACACCAGCCCTACACTTACTACCCGGACCCTGCACAGACAGACACAAACACCAGCCCTACACTTACTACCCGGACCCTGCACAGACAGACACAAACACCAGCCCTACACTTACTACCCGGACCCTGCACAGACAGACACAAACACCAGCCCTACACTTACTACCCGGACCCTGCACAGACAGACACAAACACCAGCCCTACACTTACTACCCGGACCCTCCACAGACGAACAGAAACACCAGCCCTACACTTACTACCCAGACCCTCCACAGACGAACAGAAACACCAGCCCTACACTTACTACCCAGACCCTCCACAGACAGACACAAACACCAGCCCTACACTTACTACCCAGACCCTCCACAGACAGACACAAACACCAGCCCTACACTTACTACCCAGACCCTCCACAGACAGACACAAACACCAGCCCTACACTTACTACCCAGACCCTCCACAGACAGACACAACCACCAGCCCTACACTTACTACCCAGACCCTCCACAGACAGACACAACCACCAGCCCTACACTTACTACCCAGACCCTCCACAGACAGACACAACCACCAGCCCTACACTTACTACCCAGACCCTCCACAGACAGACACAACCACCAGCCCTACACTTACTACCCAGACCCTCCACAGACAGACACAACCACCAGCCCTACACTTACTACCCAGACCCTCCACAGACAGACACAACCACCAGCCCTACACTTACTACCCAGACCCTCCACAGACAGACACAACCACCAGCCCTACACTTACTACCCAGACCCTCCACAGACAGACACAACCACCAGCCCTACACTTACTACCCAGACCCTCCACAGACAGACACAACCACCAGCCCTACACTTACTACCCAGACCCTCCACAGACAGACACAACCACCAGCCCTACACTTACTACCCAGACCCTCCACAGACAGACACAACCACCAGCCCTACACTTACTACCCAGACCCTCCACAGACAGACACAACCACCAGCCCTACACTTACTACCCAGACCCTCCACAGACAGACACAACCACCAGCCCTACACTTACTACCCAGACCCTCCACAGACAGACACAACCACCAGCCCTACACTTACTACCCAGACCCTCCACAGACAGACACAACCACCAGCCCTACACTTACTACCCAGACCCTCCACAGACAGACACAACCACCAGCCCTACACTTACTACCCAGACCCTCCACAGACAGACACAACCACCAGCCCTACACTTACTGCCCAGACCCTCCACAGACAGACACAACCACCAGCCCTACACTTACTGCCCAGACCCTCCACAGACAGACACAACCACCAGCCCTACACTTACTGCCCAGACCCTCCACAGACAGACACAACCACCAGCCCTACACTTACTGCCCAGACCCTCCACAGACAGACACAACCACCAGCCCTACACTTACTGCCCAGACCCTCCACAGACAGACACAACCACCAGCCCTACACTTACTGCCCAGACCCTCCACAGACAGACACAACCACCAGCCCTACACTTACTGCCCAGACCCTCCACAGACAGACACAACCACCAGCCCTACACTTACTGCCCAGACCCTCCACAGACAGACACAAACACCAGCCCTACACTTACTGCCCAGACCCTCCACAGACAGACACAAACACCAGCCCTACACTTACTACCCAGACCCTCCACAGACAGACACAAACACCAGCCCTACACTTACTACCAGACCCTCCACAGACAGACACAAACACCAGCCCTACACATACTACCCAGACCCTCCACAGACAAACAGAAACACCAGCCCTACACTTACTACCCAGACCCTCCACAGACAGACACAACCACCAGCCCTACACTTACTGGCCAGACCCTCCACAGACAGACACAACCACCAGCCCTACACTTACTGGCCAGACCCTCCACAGACAGACACAACCACCAGCCCTACACTTACTGCCCAGACCCTCCACAGACAGACACAACCACCAGCCCTACACTTACTGCCCAGACCCTCCACAGACAGACACAAACACCAGCCCTACACTTACTGGCCAGACCCTCCACAGACAGACACAAACACCAGCCCTACACTTACTGGCCAGACCCTCCACAGACAGACACAAACACCAGCCCTACACTTACTACCCAGACCCTCCACAGACAGACACAAACACCAGCCCTACACTTACTACCCAGACCCTCCACAGACAGACACAAACACCAGCCCTACACTTACTACCCAGACCCTCCACAGACAGACACAAACACCAGCCCTACACTTACTACCCAGACCCTCCACAGACAGACACAAACACCAGCCCTACACTTACTACCCAGACCCTCCACAGACGAACAGAAACACCAGCCCTACACTTACTACCCAGACCCTCCACAGACAGACACAACCACCAGCCCTACACTTACTACCCAGACCCTCCACAGACAGACACAACCACCAGCCCTACACTTACTACCCAGACCCTCCACAGACAGACACAACCACCAGCCCTACACTTACTACCCAGACCCTCCACAGACAGACACAACCACCAGCCCTACACTTACTACCCAGACCCTCCACAGACAGACACAACCACCAGCCCTACACTTACTACCCAGACCCTCCACAGACAGACACAACCACCAGCCCTACACTTACTACCCAGACCCTCCACAGACAGACACAACCACCAGCCCTACACTTACTACCCAGACCCTCCACAGACAGACACAACCACCAGCCCTACACTTACTACCCAGACCCTCCACAGACAGACACAACCACCAGCCCTACACTTACTACCCAGACCCTCCACAGACAGACACAACCACCAGCCCTACACTTACTACCCAGACCCTCCACAGACAGACACAACCACCAGCCCTACACTTACTACCCAGACCCTCCACAGACAGACACAACCACCAGCCCTACACTTACTACCCAGACCCCCCACAGACAGACACAACCACCAGCCCTACACTTACTACCCAGACCCTCCACAGACAGACACAACCACCAGCCCTACACTTACTACCCGGACCCTCCACAGACAGACACAACCACCAGCCCTACACTTACTACCCGGACCCTGCACAGACAGACACAAACACCAGCCCTACACTTACTACCCGGACCCTCCACAGACGAACAGAAACACCAGCCCTACACTTACTACCCAGACCCTCCACAGACGAACAGAAACACCAGCCCTACACTTACTACCCAGACCCTCCACAGACAGACACAAACACCAGCCCTACACTTACTACCCAGACCCTCCACAGACAGACACAAACACCAGCCCTACACTTACTACCCAGACCCTCCACAGACAGACACAACCACCAGCCCTACACTTACTACCCAGACCCTCCACAGACAGACACAACCACCAGCCCTACACTTACTACCCAGACCCTCCACAGACAGACACAACCACCAGCCCTACACTTACTACCCAGACCCTCCACAGACAGACACAACCACCAGCCCTACACTTACTACCCAGACCCTCCACAGACAGACACAACCACCAGCCCTACACTTACTACCCAGACCCTCCACAGACAGACACAACCACCAGCCCTACACTTACTACCCAGA